TATCTTTGAGTCCCATCGGAGTCTTCTAATCACATAGATCACCTGACGTTTATATTCACTTTATCTAACTATATCAGCGTGTATTGTCATTAGCTGTCTTATCCTGTTCTTCCAAACTCATACTCTATATACTCCGTTTTACTTTTAATTTTTCTTAGTTTATTTTCTTCAAGTACTATTCTCCATTCCCCAAGCTTATTTTTAACCTTTTTCCAGATTTTTTTCTATCAAAACTACATCATCTGCAAATATCATGTATTTTATTTGTAACTTTATCCATTAAAAAAAAAAGAATAGGTTCAAGGCCGACTTCCGACGCACACCTATTGTAACCTCAAAACCCTTTATTATTCCACACACACTTCTTACACTCGAGTTTGAAAATTCATACATATTCTCTACCAAAACCAATATTCAATCTCGGATCTCCTTTTACCATTAATATTCATATCATAACCTCTCTTGGCACTTAATCATAAGCCTTCTCTTAATCTATAAAAGCTATATAGAAGCCAAACCTATGTAAAACTTTTATAGATTGAGAAAAGGCTTAGTATTTTAAATAATTAAAAAAAATAAATATTTAGAGGAGGCTATTATGCGCGCATTTATTATCTTAGTCTAGTATTTTATGGAGCTAATCCCCCTATCTCGAAAGATATCAGGTCAATTATTATTAAAAAAAAAAAACTGTTGAAATGTAATGTGGTTGCATGAAATTCTAATAAAAAAATAATAATAATATTTATGTCTGAAAGCAACGCGCTTAATGGCAATTACGGATAAAATTGCAAAGGAATGTGCGAGTGCACACCATATCTTCCCCAAATGGCTTACCTGGGGTGACATAATAAAATTGTTACGTAAGAAGAAAAATTATTTCGTTTACAGATTAATATTGAAGTTCAAATGCATATAATACAATTTAAAAAGAAAATATATTTTTGAGGTCAGTACGTAGCTATTTTTCCAAAATTTAGTAAAACAAAACAATTATGGTCATGTTAGTCTTCGTTGTATATATATATATATCATACATAGGTAAACAATAAACATTCAGTAGGTAATAAGAATAAATATTACAACGAATTTTTTTTTTATCGTATTTTATTATTCATGAATGTACGAAACTACGTAAATAATGAATTATAAGCATAATAGTTCGTTTTAAAATTTGTTATTAGTTCTTGAGTTTCCCCCATACTACGTCAATATAATGTAAACTGTTTAGTTGTATAATAATCGTACAGGTGATTTTGCCTGCTGCAGATGATTATGAAGTGATGTTTAATCGTATAACTTTAGCATTATCACTATTCATTTATTGGGTATAAAGGTATAAACAAATTACTGATTTTATTAAATAAATATTATTTTACGCAATATTTTATTTGACCTAAACATTCAATTCTCGTATTTCAATATATACTAAAGATTTTGAACGTGATAACGGAAAATATGTACTTTTTTTAAATTTTTCTATTTGTTTAAATTCTTTCTACCAAAATCTATTGTAGGAAATGTTTCTCCAATTATACTAACTTTAGAAATTATTTCTGGTAAAAAATGTGGTCGAGTTGGAGCATCGAAGAGGTTATTTTTTGATTTTTCTTAATAAGAAACGGGGGCAAATGTATGTAAAAATAACAGTTTCTGGTATTTTTGCTTTCTTGTTATAATTCAGTTAAAAGACCTGAATTAATTTTGACCTGACATTTGTATGGAATACTTATATTAATTCCAATTCCAAAAATACGTTTTTGCTCTAAGTACATCGTATTAAGTTCGATATCCCGTTTTTACGTTGGTAAATTTTTCTAAATTAAATTTGACCTCTTTCTCGTTATTCTATCCATCTAATATCGCACGCACAGTTTTAGGTCTGAATGCTCTGATAACAATACAACGTGAAAAACAATGACCTAGGGTAATGGGGTCGGATGAAGCCACTGGTATATCTGTTAGTAACGATTAACCATTGCTAACGAAAAAATGATTTTAAATGAAGTTCAGTTGATTTCTAACGTTTTTAAAAATTTTAGGTAATAAAACATCACTGTAAAACTAATACATTCCTCGCTTCGCTCAAATTCTAAAAGAAAAAAAAACAAAATATATGTTTTAAATATTATTTAACATTTATTTGATAAATATGTTTTTGATATTATAATATAGTATAATTTTGTTTATTTTCCCCCATTCTATGATTGAGTATAATATTAGATAGAGATTTGAGTAACATCATCTATTTTCATAATAATATCATAAAAGTCTTTCCACTTGAATTGTTTCTACACTCACTATGTTGGCCTGTAGCGTTATTTGTAAGACTGTGTTAAGAAAATATTAATGTCTGAAAATGGTATGTGTACCTACGAAAATGTATTGGTTTTACAATGATGTTTATTATTATTATTTATTTTTTTTATCTGTGCACAACTTTTCTACCAGAAATGTTGCTTTAATATTCAATTCTAGTATTTTTTCTGAAAGAAAACTTGACTGGAGTGATACTTAAAGGAAGCTATTTTTGGATTTTCCCAGGTATTTTCATAATAAATCGGAAAACCGGGAAAAACGGTACAATATTAAACAAATATTATTAAAAAAAATATGATAATAATAAAAATATTTATATTATAATACATATGTAATTATTTTAACATAATATGACATGTATAATATATTGTTGACAAAGCAACACCATTAGCTGAACTCCGGGGAGATTTTTAAATAACATTGTTATGTATTTGTACATTATACAACGCTCGGTTGACAGTTTTCATTTCAGTGTAATTGTTAATTGTCATTAAATTAGGTTATCAAAAAAATAAAAATAAGGTTTTTTTAATTTTTAATTTTGGTTGGTTGAACGATTAAAATAATGATCATCGATATGAACAACAAACATTTTTGGTCATTAATTGACGATTAAGGATTAGGTAATTCTTTAAATGATAACATAATATTGTAGATGTTTGAACTTCTGCGAGTATAAGTACCTGTGTTTTATCAGATTTCCGATTTGTTTTCGATATTTTGATTCAATTATAAAATTGCGGTTTTTCATTAAATATACCAGGTGATTGATTTAAGTGGTTACACTCATTATCTCGGAAAATATTAATCTTTTCCGGAATTTGTTTTCTAGAATACTTAAGAAAACTTATTTTTGGGGGTAAAACAACTATCTACTTTAATTTTCTATATTAAAAAATCCATAAATAAATGGATTATTAATCAAAATATATTTTGGCCATAACATTTTTTATTTCCGTCGATGAGGGTAACAAAAAATAACACAAATACAAAATTGTGGAACAGCTCGTTTCTTAAGTGTTTTAGAAAAAAAATTCCGGGAAAAATTAATACTTTCCGAGATAATGACTGTAACTATTTAAATAAATCACCTGGTATACTTTGAGACAAGGAAGTCTGGAGGGGAGGGGCAATATTGCAGGATTGCGCGTATACAATAATAGCAACAATACAAAGCTCATTCCGGAAACGAGGCGTATACCCAAAACATTATTTACGACTACGTCACTACATCACATATTATTGACGCCACAGGTATTTTGCATCTAGTGAGCTGATTGTTTGCGGGCGTCCGTGTTTTAAGATGATTGACATTCCAGATAAAAATACCGAACTACACACATGTTACACACGGTATATTGTTATTGTAGCGGATAATATTTATCGGATCGATAGGTTTTTAAATTATCAGTATTATGTTTTTTTATTTTATTATAATGATGCGTCTTGATCCCTCGACCTTATTTACGCCACACTGTGTAATGCATATATATATATTGAACCCTATTATCCTGCGGGAATCTCGATTTATGAATCCGGATATTATAACAACTATATTTACTGCAAATTTCTTTATATTACGAACGCAACAACTACAATATTATGTACTGAATTTTGTTATTATTATTATTTTTTTTTTTTTCAGAAGACTATTTCTCTTTCGTTTTTACTTAAACAAATTATTTACATCTCAATTCGATTAAAATAATGTAATAATTCACCATGAAATAAACATCCAAATGGTTTATTATTTAATGACTTTCCATCAACGCCGTATCACTAATTTTAAATTAGTTAAATTTGTATTAGAAAATGATCGGGATACACTCAACATCGAACCGATACGTACATACTTCGCACGATGGGTGGTTAGGTTCGGTTATACATGTTTTATAAGGCCGTAATATTTACGATTTGAAAATAATACATTTCGTAAAATTTCCTGTTTTTCTTACTTTTTTTTTTCCGGATTTCTCTATTTATTATGAAAACCCCTAGAAAAATCAAAAAATGATCTCTTTAAAGTGCCACCTCAGTCGGATTTCTTTTCAGAAAAAGTGCTACACTTCGGAAAATCGGAGAAAAACGTCTGTAGAAAAATTGATAATGTGTGATAATGTCTCTAATACGGCGTGGTTACCGCCGCACTATCTTCCGCCGATTCGCTTTTCGTCAGATTTAAAAATCATTTTTTTTCCTCGTTATCCATTCGAATAAATGCTAACGGGAAATCAGCGAAATTTTAGATTAAACAGTTCTTTTGGTAAGGGAAATATGCGGTAGCACCCGCTGTCCAGAATCTCGCTGCGCCTCGGGGGTTCGTCTCGTCGCGTAGCCGCGGCGTTGCAACAGGTGACCACGTTCGACGCACGTGTGCGGCCCGTGCTGCGGTTTTCCGCGGCGCGCCGTGACGGTCCGTCGGGGGGCCCGTCATTGTTATCACGGTAAAACACAAAGACACACACACACACACACACACGCACACACGCTCGCGCGCGGGTCCGAAAAATGCTTATCAGGTGGCGGTACGGGGGGGAAACGATAAGGGTGGGGGAGGGGCCGCGACGGTACGGCGCGCGCGGCGCGAAAACGTCCCACCGATTGTCTCGGCCGCCCGGTCGTCACCAACGACGTCTCTTCCCGCCGCCGCCGCCGCCGCCGCCGCCGCCGTCGTGGTGGTGGAGGAAAGCCGCGGGCGCCCGTATATACGTATATTACAGACGGGCCCGGCAGATAACCGGAACAGTTTTCCCGCCGGACGTTTTCTTAGTACGCCACTAGCACGCCACTCGTGCGCCACCGTATCATTTACTTCAGACGCACCCGAACACGACACCCGGCAACACGACGGCGACCGCGGCGACAGCATCATAATAATAATAAACAATATTTTAATATTCCGTCGTTCGTGTTATAATAATATTTATCGTTCGTTACCGGCAGTCGTTTACCGGGAACCGACCAGTCCGCGTACACTCCGCTGCCAAATTCACCACCGTCCGGAGACGTTCGGTTTATTTTTCTTTTTTTTTTTTTTTTNAATATTTATCGTTCGTTACCGGCAGTCGTTTACCGGGAACCGACCAGTCCGCGTACACTCCGCTGCCAAATTCACCACCGTCCGGAGACGTTCGGTTTTTTTTTCTTTTTTTTTTTTTTTTGGCGCGAAATTAATCGGGCCGCCAAAAAGACGAGCGTTTTTTGTTCCCCCGTCTAAAATCCACCGACGTCGTCGCGAACTATGGGATTTTTCAAAGGTAAGCGGTCTGTTGTCATTCGTTGATTTGTCTTTAGTCCCGATGCAAAAAAAAAAAAACCACAAAAAACGTCTCCTGCAGTAAGAATAGTATTATGACAATACACTCGTACACTGTATTACAGTCGTACTACTACAGCCGCCCTTCGCCTACCCCCTAACCGGCCCCCCACAAACAATTGTTGATTTGTTTTTTTTTTTTTTTAAATATTTTTTTCAACAGCGGATTCATCGATACTGTTTATATATTATTATTGTTGTTCTAGGCCGCTAATATGTACACCGTGCACAGTAAATAGGTATAGATTGCTATCGGAAAATTGTCAGAATATGTCCGCTGCCAATGGTTCGTATCATATAATAATAATAATTATTAATGTTATAAAATATCGTTTCCGAATTCGCGTAAAAAAAAAAAAAAAGATTATTTATTTATAAACGATTTTCCGATTGCATGGTGTTATTTATTTTTTGTATATTGGACCGCTCGTTTTAGAAACGTAATTATTTTTTGGTTTTTTTTTTTTTCTATTACCGTTGTTAGCAGCAGCCCTTATACAGAACCTAACTACACTTACATATAATACAACACTATAGCCCGTTTCGGACACTCGTGCCTAATATTCACGTGTCGTCCGAGTATTATTTTTCATTGTTATTATTATTGTTATTTTTTATTTTTTTTTTTTTTGCACGGTTTGTTTTTTTACCGCCGTACCGACGCCGGTTCCTCGCCGACGAAATTGCGTACGCTCGGACAAACAGAATACACTATCGTTGTACGCGCCCGGTGTTTTTCACTGTGACCGTTTCGCTTTTCGTCGGGGGTGGGGGGAAGGTGTTCGAAAAACCCCAGACATTTGGCTTCCCGAGCCCCCCCCCCTCCTTAGTCGCGCCCTATGGACATGCGTCCGTTACAGCGTAGTTTGCATACGCGTTTTTGTCGGACCAAAAACGGACAACCGACGTGAAAAATAAAGTCGTTTGAATTGAAGTGAAAAAAAAAAAAAAAAAAAAAAACCCCGCACACCGTCGCAATATATTTTATCGACGGGACGTACTTTACCGGCTCGTTGAAACGGTTGACACGCGGTGCTTGCGCACGACCTACACGGTCCGTGCACGAACGATATTGTTCGCAAACAAACCGCGCCCGCTGAAGTGTACATATATATATCGGTTATAATCACTCGTAAAAATCGTATTTTAATTGAAAAAAAAAAATTAATAATTAATAATTATAATAACGACGCGCGTATTTGAAACGGAACGGTTTCGACGACGCTATCGGTAATCGATGACAATAGAAAAAAAAAAAAAAATGTATATTATATATCCACTCGAACCGCTGGGCGAACGCGCAATATCACAACCGTCCGTCCCAGACGTTCTTGACATTCGCGCCGCCGCCGCCGCCGCAGTGTTGAATTACGTGCGCGCGAAAAAGGCGCGCGAATCGCGTCGATTTGTCGACCGAATGGCCAGAGCGCCAACAACAGCGAACGCACTTGCGGATTACATAAATCCGTAGGCAGCTCCCGTTAGAACACGCGCAACGTACACAGCGCAGTGGCGGATCTGCGTATTTCGAGCGTGTTTTTTCGCGTGAACGAAATCGGTTTGAACCCCCCCCCCCTTCCCCCTTACTCTTCTTTTCAGTTATAATAACTCGGAACGTTTGTTTCGGCACCGATTTCGAGTACGTTTTTGTCACATCATTTATATGTATCATGTGTGATTTACCGTTTCCCGGGGAAAAAGTGTTCAGAGTAACGGTTTTGTACAGGGCCCCCGTACTAGGCGTTTGTCCGGGCCCTTTACAAAACTTCCAACAATACAATTTACCATAAATTATTAAAAATCAAGATTCATAAACATTTTGATAATAATAATGTTTTTTTTTTTAAATTTTTTATGATAATATTATCTAAATGAAAACACGATAATTTCTAGGTAATCAATGGTTAACACCCGCACTTTAATATATCAAAATGACTAAATATATGTATATCATAAATTATAATTATTATTATTAAAATTATTATTAAAAAATTATTATTACTATTAAAATTTGAAAAATTACATATTCATTTCAACAGCCCCTTGTAGGTGCCCTGATTTTGTACAAAGTTTACAACAAGCGAGCGAATTGAATTTTGTGAATACACCGTTACAATGCATCGTTTAAACCGAACAAATTGCGCACGAGATAAAATTTAAAAAAAAAATAAAAAAGACGGATATACTTCGCACGAGAGTGCAGCTACTGTTGTAGGTAGGAAGTCGGGAAGATAGGATACCGATGGGAATTTAATGTACATCTGTAAGCAACGGTGAACCATTGCTAACAAAAAAACGATTCTGAACGGAGTTCAGTTATTAGTGTAGCTTTGTCAATACAATATATGGTATATATCATATTATGGTAAAGTGATTACAACAATGTGCGTTTCCGTGATAACAATGATTGTTTAAAAAATATTAAAATAATACAAACTTAATAATAGCAAAAAATAAATAAAAACGGTTGCAAATGACAGTCTTGTTTTTAATCTTTCAATCTTTTTTAACCTAAAGACCGAGGTTTTACTCATTATCTCGAATATTAGTGAGAATTTCAAAAAATTATCTTTTTAAAGTATTACCCGGAGAACGTTTCCTTTCAGAAAAAGTGCTATACTTGCTAATCGGAGTATGATTTCTGGTAGAAAAAGTGTTTACATAAAAAAAATAAACATCATTGTAAAAACAATACACTCCTCGCTTCATTCAGAATTTAATATCCCAAAAATCGACTTACGTCCTTCTATCCGCGGGAACGAACATAAAAATAATAATATTGCCGTCCCCCTCTCCCCCTCCCCCCGTTACAGTCAGACGGAGACGACAAAACGCGTTCTCGACGTATGATAGGTAATATAATGTACATTAGGTACCGCGATATTATAAGTACTTTAAACTCGTCGACCGAAAAAAACAACAACCCGCGGAAATTATCGACGATAGGCGTTTAGCGAATAGCATTATTACGATAATACGACGGTGATTACGGTGCTCTAAATACCACCTAAAATGTACCCATTAATCTGGTCAAGGACTCGTATTTATATATTTATTATGAAACGCGAAAACTACGAGATGAACAAATTTTAATCTCGTGATTCTCGAACAACACGTTATAAAATGTTAATTAAGTGTGCATGAAAAAAAAAAAAAAAAAAAAATGAATAACAATAAAAATAATAACTGTTCAAACAATATATTATTACCGTGCACAGGGTGATTCGCTAAGCGTGCTTACCGCATTCGTATGATTAAATTTTGCGTACATTAAAATTCTGGTTTTCGGAATTTTCGAGTGCAGTTAAAGCCGGCATTTTCGAATACACAGATTTCTCACAGCATTTATGGAGCACGATGCGGCGATGCCAACTGCGGTTTTTGCGTGGAAAATTTGTCCAGACAGAAAAAATTATAAAAAAACGTTCTAGGATAATGGGGACGAGTGCAGACACTATTATAGGTAATTTAATGTACACCTGTAAGGAACGATAAACCATTGCTAACAAAAAAAACGATTCTGAGCGGAGTTCAGTTGTTAGAGATGAATTTTCAACAATATATATTTGACATATTATATTAAAATAATTAAATAGGCTTTATATATTTTTTTAAAATAATATTTGTTTAATGGTGTACCGATTTTCTCGTTTTTCCCGGTATTTCACATTTGTTGAGAAAATTGAAAAATGACCTCCTTAAAGTACCTGCCTTTCAGAAAAAGTGCTGCATTTAAACATCGGAACTAGATTTTTGATAGAAAAGTCGCACACAGATAAAAAAAAAAAAAAACATCTTTGTAAAACCATTTATTTGTGTAACCATCTGATTTACAATATTAACATTAAAACGTGTACTAGATTCTCGTCCGAAAAACCAAAGTCGGTATCGCTACTCCTAGAGTGTCGTGAAAAACCTAAAATAGTCGAAAATATCCACGCATACACTTCAAAATTCCGAAAAATCGGAATAATTCGAATGCATTCGAAATGTAACGGTACAAAACGGGGTGACCGCGCTGAACGAATCACACTCTATACACGTCGGACGACCGTTCGAAAAAATGTTTCGAGTATTAATTTGATTTTTGCACCGTTCGACGTTGTAATATTACACAGCGCGTTTATCGCCAACGAAATGTTTTATAATACCGGTTATTATGTCGTGTAGTATTACCTGTTATATAGGTATACGTACATCTGCTGTATAAGCTACAAACGATATTATAACATAGGTATACCGACCTCGTTATGAAACACGGTGAACACGGTTTTACGCGATTTTCGCTTTTCGTTTGGTACATTATCCGGTTTATATAACACAGTGTGTAGTATAGCGTCGTACGTGTGCGTGTGTATTACAAACGAGCACACAGACAAAGGTACGACGACGTGCGATGCCGGGTGAAAATAATAATAATACAAATACAAATATGTAAAAGTCCGCGGTGTTTTTTTTTTAATGATACAGGGCTCGGGATTTTTACCGCTAAACATCTACAGAAAAAAAGGGCTTAAAAACGTTAAGGAGAACCCAGAAAAAACAAATTAAAAAACATTTTTAAAAGCGAAAATAGTAGAGATTAGTACTTTTACATTTCTACCATTCGCCTCTGACGGCTCTTTTCTGACGCTACACAAACGGTTGACGCCAAGTCGTTTTAGGCGGACAGCTTTTCTTCCAGCAATTTTGCTCCGAAATTTTCAAGTGAACACCCATCTTTTGATTTATTTTCATTTACTTGCATTTACTACTTTATTTATTTGCGTACATTAACTTAACGAGTAATAGGTGTGAGCTGTATCACACGTTGATAAGTTAATTTTTCAGTTTTAACACAATATTATATTAAATGTACCTATAGATAGATACCCATAATGTCCATAATAACTGTGATTTTTTTTTTAACCGTTTCTTCCCGGTTTTTTTTTTTTGGAGCGGGAGGTGAGAAGGAAGGTTGAATTTATATTCCACTCGATTGCATTAACATGTGTGTTTAACATTGATTAAAAAAAAAAAAACTAAACAAAACATAATTATAATTCAATTTTAAAATAAATATTTCCCTTTGCTTGATTATTTTACGAAATTGTTGACTTTTAACCGCGTCGACTCATATTGTTAAACTCGTTGACCCGTGTCAACTTTATTTTTTCAATCGACTCAATCATAACAATTAATATTAAATTCATCAACTTGTTCATCGTGACGCGTAGCAGCATTTCGAACCGTTTTGAACACGTGTAACGTCGTGATATAGATAGATCTCACCTGCGACACAAAACCTTCGAGATCTCGAACACAATATTACAAGGGTCGGAAAGGGTTTTCAACATTTGTTTAAAACGTTCAGAAATTAAATCAGAACTACTCAATAATGAAAACACTTATACTATTTTATAGTCACTATTCATTTCGAACGTCCGAATGGAAATAAACAGTTCCCTATTACTTTTGGATAAAGAGGCGATGATATTTTCTTCAATTCTTTAATATTTCGTTATTGGTGGTGGTATGGTTGCGACGCGAGTTGTGTTTTTATGATATTTCCGAAAAATAATGTTTAAAACAACGCGTTCGTTCGCAATTGAAAACGATCGTTTTTTTTTTTTTTTTTTTTTTATACATTTTATTCGGAACAACTCTCCGCCTAATGATATTTTATTAGGTGCGCCGGAAATGTACACCCGCGGTGTTTTATCCGTGCCGGCGAAACGTTTCCACGCGCGCGGTCCATTGACGCCCCTGACAACCCGCCGCCAGTATATCGCGCCGCGGCGTCGTGATCGAACTGTGCGCTCTAATGACGCCGTCATATATGTACGCCGCCGCCGCCGCCGAGCGTATTATTTTATTGCGAACGGGCGAAATGCGAAATCGTCAACACCGACGTCGTAGCCAACCCCATCCGTAGCGGCACGTGGCGAAGTCGCGCGCGCGTATTATGAAGTTCGTCGGGTAGCACGACGGCCGTTTTCGGAGCTGTCCGCGACGGCCGCGCGGCGCGGAAACAATATTCCGAAAAACGCGTTCCCCGTTTCGTTTTGCGACGCGTTGTTTGTTGGCGTTTACGCGCGAAAACCGTAACCGAGCGGATGTCAAACGACGGTTTCTAAACTTCGACCGGCGTTCGTCCGCGCCCCTAGCCCCATTTTCACTATAACTGTACCAGTTTTTTCGGGTCGGTACCTTTGCCCCCCCCCCCTCCGCCTTTAAATGTGCCACTGGTCGTGCTTACCATAATAGGACTGCTGCACCCTCCCAACGAACGAATGGATTGACCGTAAGTCGTGTACGTCCAACCGTTCGCGACCCACCCGTCTGCCCGACTTCGGCCCAAGTCGCGCAACTGATTTGGGTGTAGGTACAATAGTCCGAGGCAAATATTCCACTAAATATTATAATATTATTGTCGAACGTCCTCCGCCGCGTAGCAGCAACGTGCCGCCGGCGTCGGTGAATTGATTTTTTTCGGTGGTGACGATGTTTGACGGCGGTGACGCACATCGCGATTCGAACTGCGTAATTCACCGTGTTCATTGTTACCTACTATTGTAACGACGAAATGAGACCGGCGTCCCGAACATTATAATAATAATAATATGAAATAGGTGCCTATCTCGCGTAATCGAATACCAAGGTTAATGTTTCATTAATCGTCCAATTTATCATAGGTGCATCGTATAGTCGCGTTATAGTAAACAATGTAATTATTATTGTCAATAAACGCCACATCGGTCAACATTTACGGGAGCACCGGCCACTGGCGGCAGTGTGACGCGACCTCAAATTCCGGCGAGTAACGTTTCGTAATCGCAATTGATTATTCATCGATATTCGTTTCTGCGGCGCTTCATCAACGCCGAAAAGTGTCACGAAATGTCGCAAAAGCGTACGGCGGTTTAGGTATAACTTGCACGGCATACATTTTGTTGCATGGGCGAAGTTAAATAAAGAAGAAAATAGAGCTGATATTGGGGACGGGCGCGGCCATTGTTGTTGGTGAGAAGTACATAAGTTTAGTCCATTTATATCTATAAGCAACGATAAACCATTGCTGACGAAAGACGATTCCGAGCGCAGTTCGGTAATACCATAATATGAAGTGTTTTTTTTAACATAAAACGTTTTTTTTTCCGATTATTATGAAAACTAATTCGAAAATCAATAAAACGAACTACATTATTAAAAACAAGATTAATAATTCAACAAATAAGGTCACTTGTCGTTTTTCAAACGTTTTTCCCGATTAAGCGCTTTTATTTAAAAAATGGCGTCGAAAATCAAAACATGACCTGTTCCAAGTACAATCTAGACAATTTGAGCAGAAAAATTGCGGTTCATAAAGATCGGAGCAAGTTTACTAGGAAAATACGTGTCCACAGAATAGAATGAAAAAAATAAATAAACAGCATTGATAAACAAATAGCTCCCTTGCTACGCTCGAAATCTGAAAAATCCATTAAGTTAAAATCCCAGAAATATGAATTAACTATCTTAGTACCCTATAATACCTTTTCTTAAAAGTGTTAATACAATTTTAGATTCCAAATGCAACGATGAATGTATTTGTTTTACTCTGATGTGTGCTTTTCCCCCCTATCTGTTTACAATTTTTTCACCAGAAACTTTACCTTGATTCTCGAGTATAACATCTTATGACTTTTTCTGAAAGTCTAGATATTAGAAAGTTTATTTTTTAAATTTTATTTTGATTTTACTTTCGGTTTTCTTAATAATTGGGAAAAATATAATAAATATTCGAATGTTATATTTCATAATCGATTAACTTTGAATTTCAATCGGATTTCAATTGGAAAATTAGTAATTCCATCGTGTTTTCAATCTGTGACAAACTGCACGGATTGAACAGATTCCGAACCACTGAATAGATTTTGTTAAAATTTTGAAAGGAGATCGATTATATCCTGAGAAAGGACATAGGCTACATTTATTCGTCCGGGGCAGCCATCTTTACAGTAATCTATTACTGTTATCATATACGGGAAAAGATATTATAAATGTCTACGTGGACAAAGTTGCACATGGACGAAGCCGCGTAATACAGCTAGTATATATATATTAAGTAGATATGCTTCAATATACAAAATAAAAAAAATTAACCACGTCAATAAATAAATGTTGTGATATAATATAAATGCACTAAGTGCTTACAACTTATAGTGGGTTTCTACCATTTGCATTACTAAATGACTCAATGGAATCGATAGGTACGAATAGTAGATACTTATATGTTCAAATTTGCTTCTTGTCAAATATTAATTCCAAAATATTTCGAAAGTTATCAAACAATGTCTAAACAACTAAGATTAACTGTTCTGGCATAAAAAAGAGTTCCAATAAAAAGTTGCACTGCCATCGTGAATTTAGTAACACAAAAGTTCAATTTGGCCTCCTGTCGAAAATAAAGTTCAACTAATTTCAAACGTTATCTAACAATGGCAAGCAATTTACAAACGAATTTGTTAGATGTGTTAGATCGATGTCTGCTAATGTTGTGCTGCTCTGTTCATAAGGACTACAAAATGTATACACTATTTCACTATAAAAAGACAGCTTTCGACGGCTTCATCCGTTTCCAACGATAATTAATTTTTTAGGAGCTACATGTTTTTGAAAATTTAAGAGGCGAGGAAGGTTATGCCGGTCTAATGGTGCAATAATGGTCACTCTTGGTTAAAACGTCATCTAGAAGTTCTATTTTGAAAAATTGTAGATCTCTTGTAACTCCCTCAGGCGTTAAATTTTGAAAAACCCCGTCTTCGTGAGTCATTACATCATAAAATTGAACTATAGGTAATGTTCAAATTTCATAGTGGTTTTTCCTTGGCAATGATGAAACAGTCAATCGAGACAACCTATTACACAAATTATATATTATAAACGCGTAATATTAATCTCTATATTATAATATGCAGTACATAAAATACACCGCAAATAACGCGTACAAGTTCATCGACGGGGTTAGTAATAATGACTTGTTGAACATAAAAAATAACGATTTTAATACGCGTACGTCGTCGGGGCATGTGAAAATAATATAGAAACACGAGAGACATTAAAAATATCGGTTTTAAACGTCGTCACGAAAAATTCAGTTAATTTTAGAAACTAATGCCGAAAGAAAGAAACGAAAGAAATAAATGAATACCGAATAAATAATATTATTATAATACACCTTATTACTTTATGGGGAAAATGTTGTATTTAAACTCCATTCCCGTCCACGGGGAGTAAAGAAATATTGTCGTACCACAGGGTTCGGTTCGCGAGGTTAGACCGGAGGTGACCGTCAAAAACCGTAGTGTCGACGAACCCGCGACCTTGACGGCGTATCGTACCTGCAAGCCGTTTTTGTTATTATGTTGTTAACCGGTATAGGTTATGTTAGTAAAGGCAAGGACGTACGTCCAAGAGACGGGGAGGGGGAATGAAATTTATTATCATAAAGTATCTGTACGTGTAGGTACTGGATTTATTAATTTGAAATACATACCTAACTCCTAACCATTCAACGCATTCAACGCTCGAATTGGAAAAATGAAAGAAGAGCGTTTATAAGACTTTTAAAAAAATAATTAGCGTCTCTTGCAATTATTGAACTTGACCTAATCCGTGGGGGGCTCTGCCCCAATAACAATTTTTAAATATAATGCAAAAATTAATAATTTCCGAAAAAAAAAAAAAAAAAAAAAATTATAACACTATCGCAGGCTAATTTTCGATTGCTTAATATATATTTAATTTAGATTCTACTAATTTAGCGATTTTGTTATTTTTTCCTATATATATACCACTTTTCTACCAGAAATCTTACTCCGATCATCAATTTTAGAGTTGATGCCGTTGGTGGTTTCTAGTAGCCATTTTTGTCTGGTTGGTGTAATGAGAAGGTTATTTTTAGATATTCCTTGTAGTATTCTTTATAATGGCGAAAACCTAGAGATAATGTTGGAAAAACTGTAATATTTACATGATAACGATTTTTTTCGTTGTAATTCGGTGAAAAATAATCGTATACGCCGAAAATTATAATTCATATAGGTATACATATTATAATTTACCGCAGCTCTTTTCAGACACGATATAATTGAACTGATTTTTATAGCGATGTAAGGAATCCCCAAACGATATTCTAGATACCTTGTTCAAATCAGAGGTATGGTAATCAGAAGTGTATTTTGTTCTGAGTACCGGTTTAAGCTTTCAACACCGACACATAACACATACTGTATCGGTTGTTCACGTGGTGTTATTATTGGTAATACGGTATAAACGAGGGTATACAGGGTGATTCATTAAGCATGCCCACTTCATTTTTATGCTTTAATTTTACATAAATTGAAATTCTGATATTTGGAATTTTTAAGTGTATAGTTAAAGCTGGAAAAACGAATAGGTACTTAGATTTTTCACTGCTTTTAAGGAGTAACCTGTGTTGACGCCTATTTTGGTTTTTCAAATGAGAATCTTTAAAAATTCTATAAATAAACCGAATATTAATTTAAATTTCATTTCGGTGTTGATATTTTTGATTTCCGTTGACCCGTTGACGAGATATTCCACTTTTAATTTTGGATACGGGAAAAATAGTGGAACATTATGAAAACGTTGCTCACCATGCCGCCACACAAATAATGCTTTTTACACTGTTATCCTTGGTATTTTGTAAAAGAATAACTCGGAAACTTGCATTTCAAATTTGATTGTAATACATTTTCAGAAAAATCATCCTGTTTAGAATATTAACGCTTTAAAAAGTGTGTTAAGTTCTCGTTTGAAAAGCCAAAGTCTGTATCATCACTAGATACTCCTTTAATGTTGTGAAAACTCTAAGTATTGAGCATGCTTAATGAATGATCATGGGTACATAATATTAGTGGGGTTCACATCAATTTTTTAGAGAGTATACTATTACACATTCTGTGCTTTACATCATGAGGTATTTTATGTCTTTTTATTGTTTATACTGTTTATAGGGAAATAGATACATCAATTATAAAAAAACATTAAAATAAAACACTCGTAATATCCGAATTTTTCTTCTGACTATTTCTATTGCTCAGGTAACCCAGAAATCAAAACGAATTATATTAAAAATTGCCAGGTTTTCGGATTTATTATAAAAACTACAAGAAAAATCAATAAACCGCCATCTCTAATAAACCAACTAAATCCAAAATTTTACACCAAAGTTCTGGAATAAAGTTTTGAATGAAGTAACATTTCTGGTAAAAAAGTTATTTATACAGAATCATAATAAAAACTTCCCCACTTCACTCAGAATCTAAATTTATATTTTAAATCGTAGGAAAATGTTGAATTCTTAGTCATATATAGTGAAATAAATTGAATTTATGCATTAGTCTATATTAACGGTTTTAGATGTATAAACGGTATGCTAATTGAATGGTTAATGATAAAAAACAGAGCTTAGATTTTATAGTATTGCAAATAACTGAAATATGTGCTATAATATGACCTAAACATTTAAAAATAAGCCAGAGTATGCCATAAAAACATGAAAATATATTAATTTTTAATTTTTTTTTTTTTTTTTTAATATATAAATACAACCGAAATAGAAGTCATAAATGTGAACTGTTCGGTAGGTATGCAGGGCTACATAAAAATAGATTACAATATGAAATGAAAACGTATAGGTAATTTTCTTATGGATTCACAAAATGACCAATTTTTTTTTCTACTATTTATCAAATAGCAAAAATTAACATTAAAAATTGAAAAAACTAAAATATAAAATACTTCAAACGTGCAAAAATTAACAATGTAAAATTTGGTATTCAGAGTCCTTGGCACGTAAAACAATTATTAATGTACAGCTCACTCTGATATTTTTATCTGTGTCCTGTAGTAAATTAGCGAACGCTATAAAATCCGAGCCCTGATAATAATATAATAATATATCACGACAAATTAAACAAAAAAAAAAAAAAAAAAAAACTATTCTGAGCAGAGTTCAGTTGATAGTGTTGCTTTGTCAACAATACACATCATATCGTATTATGGTAAAATAGTTACACACGCATTATATAATGATTATATAATGATATTATTATGGAAAATAATTATTGAACTATTGTTTTCTTCGATGATATTTGTTCAACATCGTACCTATTACATCGGTTTTTCCCCGTTTATCGGGAGAACTCCTGGGAAAATCGAAAAATTTCCCACGCTTAGAGTACCTGCCCGGTCCGATTTCGTCTCGGGGGAAGCGCTATCGTTGAAAACTGAAGCGAAATCGCCGGCGGAAAAATTGTATCCGAAAAAAATACGGCGTGTAATTATTAAACCTACCCCGCGGGGGGTGAACACCGTTGTGCGTATTTTGTACGTTAACGGGTAGGCGCGATTATCTCGAGCGAACGGTAATCGCTCGCGCTCCGGAACATTAAAATATAATATTTCATAAAACGTACGGGAAAACAAGAAGGGAAAAAAAAACAATTCGCTAATAATACCGCGCGCGTAACGGGCGGCCGGCTGCGACGCGCCGCGGCCGTCGTCTGAGGTCGCGGCCGCGCGGTCATTCCGGTCCGCGAGTCCGGCGGACCTGTTGCGCGCCTCCGTAACGATAATTGTTGTTGTTGTCGTCGTCGTTGTCGTTGTTGTTGTTGTTGTTGTTGCTATACGCGCCGAGCTCGTTACTCGTTATCACTCGCGCGCGCCGAGCCGGTGCGGTGTGGTAAATCGAAAACCGAACGTTTTTTTTTTTTTCTGTTTATCATTTTTAAAAAATCCGTCTTGTCGTCGCTAACGCCGAACGTTGCCGAACCGACAACCGCTCGCGCCGCCGCCGCCGCCGCCGCCGCGTATTGTTGTTTAATCGTTTTTAGGCGCGGGCACAATAATAATATCGTGCGGGTCGCGCTGCACCGATCACGGGAACCGCAACGCCCGCGATCGCGCTATATAACAGCCGCGCGTTTAACAGATAAGACGCATTCGAGGATAAGGCTCGTCACGGCGACGGTCCTCGTGTAACCCCGTCGCGTACCCGTACCCCGTATCGCCCGTTGTCGTTCCTTCCGCCGGTCGGAACGCGTTTCCGTTTTCGTGTTTTGCGTTTTTCACTATTCTCCGCGCCCGCGGCCAACGCGCGTCGCAACGCCCGCCGCAACCACACGCCCGGGGTGCCGTAGTCGCCATGTCCGGCCGCCGCAAGAGCGTCGTCGAAAACTGCAGCAAAACGGCCGCCGAAGTCGCGACGAACATTTTCCGGACCAACGGAGACGGACAAAGTAAGGCGCCGGGAACGGTTAGACAAAAAAAAAAAACCGATAAAAAAAAACAAAAAAAAAAAAAAAACGAACGAACGAACGAACAAATAAAAAACCGCCCGGACTGTAAACCCGCGCGGATGAAAACTATTACACGCTTACGCCGCCGTATAATTTATCGTTATATTTACACTCGCGATAATAATAAAAATAACGGCGAAAACGGAAAAAAATTCCCGTTCGCGAGAATTAACGTACCAAAAATAACGCGAATAATAACATCGTAATTATTATATTTTCGCGTTGGCGCTGGTCGTCGTGTGCGAACGGCGGGTGGGGGCGGGGAAGGCGGGCTCATTTTGTTCATTAAGCGGACGCGATTTTTAAAACGCACCCAACGACAACGGACAATACAATAAAATTACAATAAATATTCACTACGCTGGAAAACGGGCGAAAAAAACGGGGGGGGGGGGGGGTGTTTTTTTTTCCATCTCGGGTTTTCATACAGTACAATAATTATTATTTTCGTGTATACAGATAACAATATTCACAACCCGAATCGGGACCGACGTTTTACCGCACACCACCCTGGATGCATACTTGCGTTGTACGCATTTACCGGCTCGTTCCAATATCACAATGCTAATTCTAACCGGGTATAGGGTAATACTTACATGTAGACCCGACGCCGAAAATAATTTCGTGGTAATGTGGATGGAGGTGGGTTACACAATGAAAACGTACGGCGTTCCGATTTTACTGCAATAACGTACAAACGTAGTAAAATTATAAACACATAAAGCACGGACAGAACATTTCGGGGAAAGGTTATGCGTATCTCCGACAATATCAACGCTCGGAAGGAACGGATTCAAACGGATTCGTCCGTATGATATTGTGCGCTTTTCGGGAATTCATCGGAAACGGATCCGGGTGGGGACGAGGAACGATTTGTGTTTTTCAGTATAATTAATTTCAATAACCCTAGACGTTCTCGAACATTTTTCAAATATACTACATTTTTTGATTATTGTCGGTATACGTCCGTTCCAATGTCGTCATTATGGAGGACGTATGCAGATTAGGCGTTTGTGCAATCGATAATATAGTAAACTATTTCAATAAACAAAAAAATAATTTGAACGCGAACCGATTCCCCTTTGTATGGAACTCTCCAAGCGCCGCGTATAATACCCAAGGCGAATAAAATAAAACCCGCCGTATAGACAAGCCCGGATTAAGACATTTGTCAGAGGTCCCGGGGCCGCCGGACCGTTCGACGAGACGCTCGTCGCACGAAAAATGTTTACTAACCAGCAGCACGTCTTCGCGGAAAACGGAACAGCGCGAATAGCACGGACGTGTCGTACGTATTCAAAGGCCGCGAGTATCATTCAGACAAATGATCGTATTGTTTGCTAACTAAGTTACGCCAGTGCCGACAGTTTCTCTTTTTGTGACGACACGCGAATAAGTCTGTGCCGTGCGCGGGCGACGACGAGAAACCAATTGAAATACCAAAGTTAACGGTTAAATCGCACGCGCGAGACACGGTCAGGTTGGGTTCCGCGGGTAAAGACCGGCGCCCCGGGAGTCTGGTGGCCACGCGCCTCCCCTTAAGCCTCCCCCCCCACCCGTCAATCCGGACACGCGTGCTTACGTACCGCGTCGCGACGACGTGCACGCGACGCATTATTAGGTTATCGCAAAATTTTAATCGCACGGTCCGTTCGATTGGTTCGTCTCGACCGACCGCCGCAAACAACGACGGCCCGATAAAAACCGATTAAATTGTCACTGTACCGTAATGTTATAGCAAATGCGTCGCGGTCACGTTTTATGGCGCAGAAATAATAAACAGCTCCGCGCGCCACGGTTCGTCCATTAAGACGACAACAACGTCCGCGTATTAGGTAATCGTATTCGTTATTGACGTTATTATTGTTTTTTTTTTTCCCGCCGAATACGTAAATAAGCGAACGCGTTATCGACGTTGGTCAACCACCGCGTACAACAGTCGGCAGCGGTCTCGGGTCGTGCACACGCAACCGCAAATCCGCCGTTGGAATATTCCCACCGTCCGCGCGTTTCCGAAAACCATTACGCGGCGCTTGCCGCGGTTCGCCCGGTTGTTGTCGCACGCGTTTTTAATCGTTTTTAACCGGGCGCCCGTCGCGGAACGTCGTCGCCGTCTTGCGACCGCCGCGTTTGTCGCGGTAATATTTTAACCGTACGAGCCGCGCGCCCGTTGCGCGATGCCAATATCGTTCAACTCGCCGCGTACAAAATACCGTCGCGCGCTTACGCGGGTCGCTCCCCCCCCCGGGTTGTTTGTCACCGTCCGCGGATATTTCTCCTCCTCCGTCACCGCACCGCCCCTCCCCCCTCCCCCCTACCAACCCCGTTATAACCGTTCGGCCCGGCCGAACGCTGTGATGTCGCGCTAAAATGCCCGCAGGGGCGGTGCGCGGGGCAGACCGCCAGGGTCAGGACCGCACGTAGGGCCGTTCGCGTTCGTAAAACCGCGCGCGCGCGTAATTATTCGCGTGTTACACGCTGTTCTGAACGTCGCGAACACGCGGCCGCGGTTATGGTGTGCACACATTCGCGTGCGTTGTGCGTGACTGGAATTCGCTCGGGGGCGAATCTATATCGGAAATGCGAGACGGACAAGACGAACGGGGAAAAAAAAAAAAATAAAATAACCGCGCGGCACGTGCGGCACGCGTTTCTACGGACGCGCGGTATAGGAGATACCATTGTCTTTACAACCGATTGCGGTCATTTTATCAATAATATTATTACTGTTTTATTCTTTCTATCGCTCCTCCCCCCCCCGTTCAAATGTATTCAAGGTCATAACCATGGTACACGGCAGTCCACGTTTGTTTGCAAACGTCGCGTTTTAATTTACAAACTAGAAAAACATATTGCGTTCGCCCACCCAGCTGATAACTATGCGATATTATTTCGTAATATCTACTCGGTAGATACGCGGTTTTCAACGCTCTTTGCCGCAAAAATGTTAAGTAGCTTATCGCCGCGTATAATATTATAATACAGTAGTAACCGTCTGCGATATTCTAATTTATTACGCGAGTATACCTTCCGTTTTCAGTCATGCCAAAGCCATTAAAATTTATAACCGCCAAGGTTATCAAAAAATGACGTAAACGGAAAAAAAAAAAAAACAATAATTGTCTATAGTGTAATAATTTACAAATTAGATTTAATAAGTGCCTCTGCTCAACTATTATTACTATTACAATCTGTATTATACTCTTCATTAAAAATCGGAAAAATAAACAAATTATCATCGGATAATACAGCGAGTATTGTTATTAATTTAATTGGCCGTTTTTGTACCATAACGCGCGTATTTAATTTGTGTAAACGTTTTATATGAAACAATAGTTCAATTAAATAAAACTCGGCAGCTGTGCGGTGAATCGGAAATCGATATAATATATACTGATTTGTGTACAAAATTTCTTTCGTAATACTACACTAATGAACACTCCAGGGCTCGGATTTTCAAAACACTAACAATTACTAAAATATGTCATCTAAAACGTAGAAATAGTAAGAGAAAATAACCGTCAAATTTCGTTTGTCTATTATACTGTTGTTATTTTTTTTAGTGCTTTCAAATCGGTCGTAATAATTATGCGTTTATACATAATCGATAAATCACCAATGAGTTAATTCGCAATCAAATAAATTGAAATAAATTTGAATGAAGATCGGCGCGATTGAACGCTGCCGTTCAGAATATTGTCAATGAATAACGTTCGAACGATGTTTGTGAAAAACGCGAAATCAATATTGTTCGATGCAGAAAAGAGAGAGAGTAGGCGAAAAAAAAAAAAAAATGAAAAATCGCCCAATTGGCCGCGCCGGGGCGTAAAACAAAATGTTTGAGCACACTCTGTTATTATTTTTTTACCCGCGTTCGATATTAAACAACGGTGATAATCGTATCACAACCGCCTGAATGTATCAATCAATATTGTTCGATGCAGAAAAGAGAGAGAGTAGGCGAAAAAAAAAAAAAAAAAAAAAAATCGCACGCGCGAATCGTGGGTTTTGTTTTTTTTTTTTGACGGCCCGGACCGAAACACCGCAACCGCCGGCGTTTACACGGGTACACCCGTGCTGTTTGCCGACAATACGTGGGCATACGGGGGGGAAATAAAGACCATTAACCCCCGTCCCGCCGAATATCGCCGCCTTAAAATCGTTTAAACTTCGCCGCCGCCCGTGAAACGTCGCCCGCTCGGGCGCGCCACCGCGATGGCGTCCCTCGCGCTTGTCGGGGCGCGCACAATCAAAGCGCGTCGTGTTACGTTCGTGCGTTTAATTTTGCGCGCGCGCGTTTGACGCGTAGCGCCGGCGTGTATCGCAATAATATATTCGATGCGATACTCGGTTTACCGGCCGCGCGGCGTGTGCGTACGGGACGGGAGCGAACGCGGCGCGCGTCTCAATCATTGCTCTTTTATTATTCAAATTGGCGGACGGTTACCGCGAGACGTTGCGTCGGACAGACGCGTTTGTACGGGCGCGCGGCGTTTCAGTAACCGAACGGCGGCGGCGGCGGCGGCGGCGTTTTGTGCACGCGTCCTGTGTGCCGCGTGTTGTGCGCGCAGCGAGAGAATTCAATTCCGTTGCGAAAATACAAAACACCACAGTGTACGTATACATATGCATATATACGTACGTACAAACGTACAAGTATGCGTTATACGGTGACACCGGAACGGCGGCGCTGTCTTTAAAATGGCTTCATCGCAATTTCGGTTGGGCGCGATTGTCCTCCGGCGGAGGGACGGGGAGACCGAGAGAGACGGACGAAAAGAAATAAATTTCCATTTGTCCGGCGACGCGTGTGTGTGTGTGTGTGTGTGCGTGTGTGCGTGTGTGCGCGCGCGTTCAACGGCGTACAGGACGAAATAACACAGGGTATAAAAACCGACGGGACGCGGTCGTACGGGTCCGTCGACACACGCTACGTTTTGTTTTCGTCCGTCGGGCTCATAAGGCGTTTCTCACGGCACACACCCGGGTGCCATATATATATATATATACATATATATATATGTATATATATATATATATATAATATATTTTTATACATAAGATATACGTACGTACTCAGGTATGTCGGTACGTGTAAAACAGTTGTATGCTAATATAAATATATATATATATGTCATGTACAGTATCGTAATGGTTACAAAGTCCCGCGTCGCGTTTCGTTTCGTGTTTCAGACTTGTCCGGCATGGGTAGTAAAAAGAGAGAGATCAACGCACCGCTCATAGTCGTCTCCAATCGACTTCCGTTCGTGCTGACCAGAAACGCAGACGGAGAACTTGTGCGGAAACAAAGGTAAACAAAACAATACCATACCGACGCGCGGTAACGATGCGAAAATAATGCGACGCGTCAATGATGCGAGAAAAAAATATAAACAAAATTTGTATCGCGTTTTACCGTGAAATCGTCACGGGCGAACGAATTCGCCGACAATTACCTTTCTACTGTCTTACGTGGTTCAAACTAATATTGCGCGTACTGCATATGGGGCCGTCTGTAACTCAACAATGTTTACCGATGTTAAATTTGTGCCGTGCGTGTTGTTATTTCGCATGCGCTCGTTGGGCGTTGAAAATAATTTGCGCGTGTACGCTCCAGTTAAAACGGTGTATTATTATTACGCACGGTAAACTCGTATGTATTTTGAATGCGGTTTTCTACACAAACCGGCCGATACGTCATCAGAATGACCGTTGAACGCTCATCTAGCCTCGGGTAATCCCGACAAAACGCCTAGACGCGACTGGGTCCAAATTTTTATTCGGGGAAGAGTTAATGCCCTCGTCATAATATTCGCTTCTCTCTCCCGGAAAAAAATACACCTTTACACGACCTGCATCTACTCTCAAACGGTCTCTGATAAATCCTAATATGCGAATTCATAGTAAACAAATAAATACTGAATTATATAATACTTGATACGTAAACAAACCTAGGTCAAGTTTGTTTTGCCAATTTTCGCAGTGTAATAAATTCATTTTTAAGTAAGGAAAAAAACAAAAAAAACACAATTTATAAATAATAAGTAATATAATTTGTTTTTCTATTGATTTCTTTTAAACGACTCGTAGATCTATATTATATCAGTGACCATAGACGTAACTGGACATTTTTGTAGAACAGGTATGTGAGAAGTTATCTTACAAGGTTATCGCCAAATCGACTCCAGTCCATGATGGCAAACCGATTAATCCGGAATCGGTAAATTGCATTTCCAAAAAATGTCAATTACTATGTAAATTGCGGTCCGGGTATTTTTTTGTACAATGTTATATGATTAAATATTTTCGATTCATACGTAAACTACATCTTAGACTTTTTTTACACAATCAATATTTTCCTTTTCATTTTTCAGACTTAGGATTGACAATATAATTATTGTATTAATATTTTAGCACTTTGTGAAAACAAAATTTGAATCCGTTAACCACTTTCAACGTGTTCTTTTTTATAAAGTTAATTTGTATTAAATTGAAATATAAAAATACACTATCTTACACATATTTACCAGTTTCTTAATTATACATTTTTACCTGATATACTTAATTATTATTTGTTAATAATACAATTTTTAACTATAAATAAAAAACAGCAAAACCAATATTTTTACCCATACTGATATTTATACAATCATATTGGCAGTCCTAAGTCTGAAAAATCGAAAGGAAAATATCGATTTTCCAAAAAAAAGCCTTAGACATAATTTTTCGTATGAATATAAAATATTTAGGCATATAAAAGGTGTCCCACGAAAATATACCCATTGCCCATATCTTTAAAGATAATGAAGATAATCAAATTTTGTTTTTTTTTTTTATAATATTCACAGGGATAAGGACTACAAATATTTATATTTCAATTCATTTTTTATATTTCGATAAAAAACTTAACATTTTTTTTTAATTTATTGTTTTTAAAAAATTTGAAGGCACAAAATTTTTATTTTTTATTAAATTCGTAGTTTTTAATAATTTTTTAAAGTTCAGAGGAAAAAAGTGTACAGTTAAACTATCTATAATAATAACAACAAATTAGCGAATGCGATTACAGCCTGCTGCACAATTATAGATAATTTTCTCTGAACTTAAAAAATCATTACAAATCATGAATTTAATAAAAAATGACAAGTTGTTACGTCAAAATATTTAAATAAACACTATAAATGGCTGGCCATCTTCAAAATGTTTCAAAAATATTAAATAAAATCATTTTTAAAATTTTTTTTACTAAATTATAAATATATGTAGACTTTATCCCTACGAATAATAATAATAATAATAAAAAAAAAAACTGACTATTTCTATTATCTCAGAAGATATTGTAATAGGTAAGATATATCTTCGTGGGACACCCTGTACACAAAATGTACCTAGGCCACAATTTATGTTTGTATAAAATACACTCGGACCACAATTTACACAAAAGAATAAAAAATGGGGCACAATTTACAACGACCTCATTAATCAGGCATTGATAATAATTTAGGAAACCTAAATTCACATTAAAGACGCACTGATATTATTTTGTTCTGAAAAATTATTATTTTAATATGAACTTTATTTTAGTGGAAAATGATAAAGGAGACGTCTAATAGAAACGTGTATTAAAGCAAAAGGGAAAGGTTCATTTTGGAAGAAATAGGTTCTGCCGATTACATTATCAACAAGTGGTTTAGGCGTTTTAGTTATACGCATAATTTTTATGTTCTTCGGTCAATCCACAATTATTGTCATTTAAAGAATTTTCATATGAAATATTAAATTCAAGGTCAATAATATATTAAAAACATAATTTATTTAAATTCGCTTAACTACGCCATTTTAATGCTAAATTTTGCTCAGGTCAAATTGATTGTATCGGTTTTGAATACGTTATTTTGCGATAGAAAAAAATTTAAAAAATGTATTCAAATATTACATTTTAAGAATAGTTTTTAGTTTCGAACTGCGATTGAATTTATTTTATTTTTATCAAATTTTTTTATTGATTATAATTAATTGTAATTGTATAATTATTAAAGTGCTGGCGGTCTTGTAACGGCTGTCGCGCCCGTCGTAGTCGAATGTAAAGGCACGTGGATTGGATGGTCTGGTTTATTCGATTTGAAACCTGATGAACAAATTCCAGAATCCGATCCGGAAGACAATGCACCAACTGCCGGGCTTAAATCTAGCCAAGTAAATATTTAAAATAATAATCATGTGTACCCAGATAACAGTGGTGGTCAGACGGGGGGGATGGGGGATGATTATCCTTCCTTCAGTACCTTATTTTTCTTAAATTGTTGTAACAATATGTACATATATCAATATTATATCATTATAGATTTAAACAAATTATGTAAAAAGGTTCATACAAATTGTATTTGTCTCCCCTTCCTATGACAGAATTATTTGACAGCCAATGCCAGCAAATAATACAAATAACATAACCTAACCGCACACCTTTTCCTTTTCGTTTTATCATTAGATTTGATTAGAATATATTTATAATTTCAGATTATTCCAGTTCATCTGGGAAAAGACGAGTTCGATGAATATTACAACGGTTGTTGCAACGGCACGTTTTGGCCTTTGTTCCATTCGATGCCCGACCGCGCGAATTTCGTGTCGAAACACTGGAAGGTAATTTAAACGTGTACCTATGCGTTTGAAACGTTTGTTTATAATATTCAATTATTTTTTTATTTTTTTGCGTCTTATTTTATTTAGGCTTATTGTAAAGTCAACGACAAGTTCGCTGACTGTACACTGGATGCCGTGAGGAATATCATCAAAACCCTTGATGAAGCAGGCGATCATGACACAGCTCCTCTGGTGTGGATTCACGACTATCAACTGTTGACGACCGCAACCAAAATCCGACAGGTGTGCGAAGAAGAGGATCTCCGGTGTAAACTCGGCTTCTTCTTGCACATACCGTTCCCGTCGTGGGACATCATGAGACTGTTACCATGGGACGATCAAATTCTCCAGGGAATGTTAGGTATGTGAACATTAAAAACAATCGTTATAATAATTAGAGATCAAACATTTCCAGAAAAATAATGGAAATTTTCGAGAAAAAAACAATTTTGATTCCTAACAACAATAGTTAAATTTTTATATCCAAGCAAACCTATCTATATCGTCGAATAATACTAATAATTAAAAATTGTATGTAATCACGGTATAGCGTACGATTTTGCCGGATTCCACATCGAGGATTACTGTTTGAATTTTATCGACTGTTGCTGTCGCAGACTCGGTTGTCGAGTGGACCGTACCAACATGTTGGTCGAACTCGCCGGACGCACCATCCAAGTGAAAGCCCTTCCGATCGGTATACCGTTCGAACGGTTCGTGCAATTGTCGGAAAAAGCTCCGGCTTTTCTGAACATGTCCGACGATGTAAAGGTCATACTCGGCGTCGACCGATTGGATTACACAAAAGGTAAAATAGTCGCGCCCGGAATAGGTTTTTAAAAAACACGTCGAATTTGTATCTGAGCATTTCGAAATAATGTGTAATTTATATATTGTTGTGTTCAGGGCTCGTGCACCGGATCCTCGCGTTCGAAAAGTTTCTCGAAAAGTTCCCCGAGTTTTGGGAAAAAGTCGTGTTCCTGCAGATTTCTGTGCCGTCCAGGACGGACGTTAAGGAGTATAAACAGCTCAAGGACGAAACCGAACTGCTCATCGGACGTATCAACGGCCGTTTCTCCATGCCCAACTGGTCGCCGATTCGGTACATCTACGGGTGTCTGAGTCAAGAACAACTGGCCGCCTTATACCGGGACTGCGCCGTGGCTCTGGTCACTCCGCTCCGGGACGGCATGAACTTGGTGGCCAAGGAGTTTGTCGCCTGTCAGATCAGGACGCCGGGTGTGCTGATCCTTTCGCCGTTTGCCGGAGCCGGCGGCACCATGCACGAGGCGCTGTTGGTCAATCCGTACGAACTAGACGAAATGGCCAACGTCTTGAACCGGGCGCTGAAAATGCCGCTCGATGAACGTGAGCTCCGCATGACCCAACTGCGTCACAGAGAACAGCTGTTGGACGTCAATTATTGGATGACGTCATTCTTCTCGTCCATGGGTGCCCTGAAGGACGAGAAAGAGGGTCCCCCGAAAACTATGAGACTGCAGCTCGACGATTTCGATATGTACCTGAGCAACCACATCGCCGGCGCGGGAAAGCTGAGTCTGATACTGGACTACGACGGTACGCTCACCCACCTGACGTCGCATCCGGACCTGGCCATCATGTCCGAGGAGACGATCAAAGTGTTGCAGAGACTCACCAACATGACGGACGTGAACATCGCCATAATATCGGGCCGTACGCTGGACAACGTCAAGTCGATGGTGGGCATCGAGAACATAACGTACGCGGGCAGTCACGGTATCGAGATCCTGCACCCGGACGGCACGAACTTTGTGCACCCAGTGCCCAGACAATACGAACAAAAAATATCGGGCTTACAAAAGCTACTCATGGAAGAAGTGTGCAAGGACGGCGCGTGGGTGGAAAACAAAGGGGTCATGTTGACGTACCATTATCGGGAGGCGCCGCCGGCCAAACGGGAACAGCTGGAACGTAGGGCCATCGAGATATTCAAGAACGCCGGGTTCGATCCGCACCAGGGTTTCTTGGCCATCGAGGGCAAGCCGCCAATCACCTGGGACCAGGGTCGCGCGTCCATCTATATACTCCGGACCACGTACGGGGTGGATTGGTCGGAGCGCGTTCGTGTCATATACGCCGGGAACGAGGACGCCATGTTGGCGCTGCAGGGTATCGCTTGCACGTTCCGTGTGGACCCGTCTCCGATAGTGCAGACGGCCGCGGACTTTCGGCTGTCCGGTCCGGACGCGGTGCTGACCATGTTGAAATGGGTAGAGAAAGAGATGCACAAACGGATGCCCACGCTGAACCGGACGGTCAGCAACAGCCGGTTGCAGAACTCCTCGTTGGCGCACAGTATCCGGTCTCAGATGAGCATCGACCAAAAGGAAGACGAAAAAGAGAAAATGATTTTGCTGGCGAGGAGATCGAAACTAACGACATGAACGCAATACGCACAACTGCAGTACGCGCGTCATAACAACGTAGGCGCCCATCGATATACACGACACCGTAACGCGGATGTTCATTGTACAGTGTCCGATTACACGGCACGTGAACGATGAATTACAATTTTCACGTTGGAAAATAACCGTCACGCGTATTTTATTTATAATTGTTGATAAATATAAGTAGTGCATATGCATAATATTTTATAGGATTAGGATCGTTGTTTTTTTTTTTTTTTTTCTAGTTATAATATTTAATACGTTTTTCGACTATGTATGTATTTGTTTTATTTGTTATATATATATATATATATATATATATACATATATACTACTATTATTGATATTATTACTTTAATGTATTACAATATTATTAAACGATCGACTTGAATGACAAAAAAAAAAAAAATAATAATAATAATAATAATGAAAAATAATAGAAAACCGCGTGAATATTGATTTTCAGTGCGGACAATATTGACGACATTATCGTTTCGTACGTTGTTATATGTTTGTGTTTGTTGTATTTGTTTATAATATCGTCGAGCCGCTTGAAACGGCTCTTTCACTGGGCGTTGAATTTCTTCATCGAGTTCAGACCCACCGGGGTCGGCGCGGCACCGTGTCCGTACTTTTCGTAGGCCGAGTTCAAGGCTTGCAGTATCGGCCCGACGTACTCGATGGATCTACGCAACAGAAAAAAAAAAAAATAATACGAGTAAACAAATAATGTTATTTTGTAGTAAACACACACGCTGTCGGCTATTGGTGACACGACAGTATAAACTATAATACAACGTTATTGTAATTTCCACGTGGAATTTCACCGTGTCAAACTTTCCGTAACCGTTGACGTTGACTTATTATTATTGAATCGACCAAAAACAACGGGTTCGATAATACATTTCGCGAAGGCGCCTGTTATCGCATATCCGAATCGGAATACATTTTCAACGTTGAATAAAAAAATCAATGAAATCGTAAAATAAATGTATAACGGTTGTCGGAGAATCGGTACGGTCGTTAAAAATCAGGGTTTCTTAAATTGCACAATGGTAAGTTTTAAAACTGAAAAAACGAAACGAATTAATGCTGTTCAACAAATATTCGAATGTAATTTTAAGAAAAAAAATACGATTGGATAAAAATGCCCTGGAAAAATTATAACGGATTTAATTGAACCAGTAAGTTTTAAATGAGTGATAATTTACACAAGGTATTGCATTATTTTAATGTGAAATCATTCACAATTCAACAATTGAAAATATTGCATATCGCGAATTAATATTTATTTTAATTTGGATAGCTTTATATTATTATTACTATTATTATTGGTATTATTATTATTTTTTTTTTTTTAACAATTTTTCGACGGTAACGATAATGAACTCACCTCTTCTGGTAAGACGGGTATTGGGACGAGCCGTATCCCTGGGAATAGGCGTCACCGGCGTACGCGGGGCTCACCGGCACGTCGCAAGTGCTGAAGATCTGACAGAGTCTGTAGCCGAAAAACGGGCTGACCACAGCGGCGATCGCTAACAACACGACGATTCCGGCCACCACAACGCCGCCCGCCGCCAGAGCCGTACCGTAACTGATAGGCATCAAGGACCATCTGTCATCTGGGGACAACAAATAGAATTTTCATAAAAAAACATCTCTGGCGAATTTTTAATAAATAAATATACGTCGAAAGGCGGTACAGCCTGAATAACGAATAAAAATGAAATCTGAATAATAATAATTTGCTGAATAACGTTGAGTTATTTGAATTATATCCGCAAGTAACGGTAATTCGTTGCTAGCCAAAAACCATATTGAACAAAGTTTCGGTTTCAATGTTTTGGGATGCCGTGATTTTTAAGGTTTTCGATAATATTTGAAAAAAATCACTATACTGCGCTCGATAATTTTTTTTTTTTACCTTAAGTACAACTTATGATGAAGGTCTTATTAATAGATCAAACATTTGAAACATTTTTATAAAAGGCTAGTATAAATATTCTGTGAACATTTCAGATATCTACGAATATTTTTAACCGAATTAAACAAAAAAACAAAATCGAAAATAACGAAACCGTTATTGCCGTAAACTTTCCAGTTTTCCCACCTGTTTGGAAAAACTATGAAAATAACCAATTGAATACAATTCGCAAACTAACAATTCCATTTGAGTTTATAGTTTCAGTGAGAAAATACGATAAAAAACAGAATTTTCTCGTACATAGTATGCGTAGCAAAATTAACATAGGATAAATTCAATTGGCATTGGTGCAAATAAGGGGGAGGGACTAGAGGGTTTAGCGTCTCAAAACTCAGCCAGACCTACCCAAATAAAATCCTTATTGGATAAATATCATACAGACTAAAGCCTCCATCTCCCCCGAAAAATATTTGAGCTGTTCGCGGCTGTGTTAATCGGTCAGGAGTGTATTTGTAAAACGTGCCAAATCTTTCATAGTGCGGATCCAATTTCGATTACATTTTTCCTGCACTAATATTAAAAAGGTACCATCGTATAATATTGCTGACCAAAACAGTAGTGATAAAATGCATCGGATTAACCGACGAGTATTTAAAAAAAATAAATATACTGTACTCACTACCGTCAAAGCCGAAATTCAATTTCGATCCGGTCGTCACTTTATCGGTCGCTACGGCCGTGGTTCCCGGGGTACTCTCTTTGGTTTCTTCTGCGGCGACAGCGTGCGCGGCCAAAACTGCCGCAATACCGACGACTGCGTAGAATTTCATGATTGTGAAATGTGCGTTAGCTGTCGAAACACATAACAATAATAATATTATTCAAAACGAAAATTACGGGTTTGCGCTTTAAACTTTAATATTTTGTTTTTTAAATTCTGAGCGTAGCGTGGTTTTATTATGACGCGCGTTTTTTTCTCATGTCCGGGTAAAAAAGGAGAGTTAAACGAGAAAGATAATACGGTTTCGGTTGTTTTCGATTTGGTATTTTTGTTGTAATTCGATTTAAACGTCGTGTTTTTAAATGCCACGATGTTTACTATTTTCGTCAAAAATTAAACTTAAAATTTGTATAACAAAAAAAATGACTTCATTACGCCAAATTTTTATTGTTGGCCAATAAGTAAAACTTTTACAATTTGAAAACATTATTAATTGGCCAAAACAATTAAATCTACATAAGACCAAAGAAAATATCAAATGCCCATAAATAGTTAAACAATTTGAAAATGTTATTTTACGTATACTTTGTAAAATGTTTAAAAAAGTTAAAAAAAAAAGAAAAAAGAAAAGCGCATCATTTTGAAATTAATAAATTTTCTCGCTGAGCTCAGAATCCGAAAAAAGCAAAAAGTTAAAAAAATAACTTAAAAAAAAAAAAAAAACACGTACAGAGTACGGGTACTTCTGAGTACAGTGAGTGGAAGTGTTGTCTTACGAGAAGTTGAATAATTTATCGTGCTCGTAAGGGTTGTTGAGTGGCCTTATATATACCTGACCGGCAATGTGCTGATACGGCAATATCGGTTGACGGGTAGGGGTTAGACGACGAGACCTGATAAAAAAAAAAAAAAAAAAAAAAAAAAAAAAACAATACATATTTCGATGTAATACGCGGATTCGGAATCGGCGGCCTCGCCCTGAAATATCCATTAGGACCGTCTAGACTGTCTGATGACAAAAATAATATTTATCGTTTTCCGTGCAAGTGCGTATTCGAGTATATCACATGGCGTGAGAAAATTCCTAAGTACGAACAAATCATATCAAACAATTTACCACGTCTAAAAAAGCCAAACCTATGTATCCTGTGGAAAAAGCAAGTATTCGCGTATATTTTTACCGAATTTCAGCAAAACGATCAAATTAAAAATAATAATGAAACCGTTATTCCCGTGAACTTTCCTGTTTTTCCTACGTTTTTCGAGAAAGCTAAACAGCTAGTCAAAAAATGACTTTTGTTTGTAAAACGGCAAAAAAAAATTGTCTCTTAAAAAATACGCTTCATTTAATGAGTTTCGATAAAAGATTTCTATATATATAAAAGATATATCGATAAGATATAAAAGATAGAAAAATTAAATTGAAAAATTATTAAATAATGAAATTGTTGACGCCGTAAATTGTTCGTTTTTATTTATGGTTTTTTCCAATTATTATTAAAACTGAATGGAAAAATCAATAAATTATTTTTTTATACAACAAAAAAAGTTACACAGTACCATAGTAATACCTAAATTTCTCGCTGTGTTCGGAATCTAAAATGTCATTTATATATAATCCGTACTCGAATATTTCGTGTATATAAAGTATTTATACGTACCTAGGCATATTTTATAAAACAATATAATTTAATATTTTAATCACATATTTTTAAATTCTATACTATAGGTATTTTATATCGGAATACTATTACCTGGGTATATATAATTACATAATATTTATGATACGAATATTGTAAATAGTTAGCCTACAGGAATGTTTTTAACGATAAAACAGTTTAGTTAAAAATAGACAATATTTTAAATTCTGAGCGAAATGAGGAATGGTACTACAAACGATGTTTATTTTTATTTTTTCGATGATTCGATGATATGCATTTAAATCCGGGCCTTATAGTAATAATTAATAAGTAATTTATAACATCCACGTTCAATTGTCTATCAATAAATAGGTATATCCTTTCATGCATAAAAAAATGTTCTCTCGTCATACTTTCTGGTTAATACCAATATAAACGTTTATTATATACTATATATATTTTATTTTTATTTTTTTTAGTACCCTCTATTATTATTTCTAAACAAAATAATTGTTTTACTTAGTGTTTAGTCAGGGACAACCCCCATGGCATGTGCTCTCCTCCGCAGTGGCGCATTCATGAGGGGGGGGGGAGAATATAGGAGATAGTTCTCCTCTCTAGTCTTTTGTTATGCATAGATATACACACAACAGATCACACATTCTGTAATCCGTTATGTGATGTACTAATCTACTTGTATGTTAACAGTCAAATATATAATATTAATATATTATGTACCGACATTAAGTCACTTTGTTATTCTGTGAGTACCATTACAGAATAATAACAAAATCAAAACAGGATTTTCAAAAAAAAAATATTAATTAAAACGGCTTAATGTTTTTATATATATATTGTATGTAATGGTTTGTGTTTATAGACCAGACTAAATGGACTAGCTTTGCTGTCTTGTCACAGTGAAGTCGAGGTCAAGTTTTCAATCAATTGTGCATAAAAATAGAAAACTTGAATTTACAATAATAAAACAGAATATCGGAACATGAATACTATTATGCTCATTGTTATTAAATCTCTACACGGGAGAAACTGAAGTCAAAGCTTGCAAAAGCTAGACCCAATTTGATTTTATAATGAAAGATTATTTTTGGGTGTGATAAAAACATTCAGAGTGTTTATGCATTTTTGGGAAACAATTATTAAGTTTTGGGATGTTATTCGGCCGTTTATACTTAATATTTCTAAAGTCTATGATGGCTTTATGGAAAAATTAGTTTCTAAAAAATATTCTTTCATATCCCCCTCCACAATAAAATCCTATATACGCCTCTGCCCCTCCAGAAATCGTTTGTTTTATTAGTTATTTCACTTGTATCGATGTACTTATTTAATAAATTATCAGTGTCCCTCCCCTCTAAAATTTGTCCCGGGTACGTACTGGATATTATATAGTTGTTTTGGGTCATTTAAATGAAAATCATTTTTATTTATTTGTATATCGATTTAAATAAACAAACAATTTGGATATATGTAAACACATATATCTTGGCTCATTTAATAAAATTATTATTAATATAGGTACCTAGTATACTTATCTACCGTTTGATACTGGTAATGTTATCGTTAGGTCAGGTTTTTCATTACGGAATACCTTTTTATTACATTATTAATTGATGGTTGTTATTATTACAATTTGATATTGTTATACGTTATCCTATAATTAAACCATATAAACATAAACAGTGATTCTGTTATTATTATTATTGTTCATTTAGTATTTGTTTTGTATTTTTTTTTCTCATAATATACAAATGCGGATTCATATAATAGGAATAAAATAATTAAAATAGCTACAAAGTACAAACTTTTCCTTCGTGGAAAAATAATAATTATTAAAATATATAAATGCAAACCAACGACAACAATACCTGAAAATAAACAATCTAACGTTGCGTCATAGAAGTATAAGTGTTTGCTTAAAAATTATTGACGAATCAATATTTTAGCTCTTTGAAATTTTTAACAAAATATGTGCAATATTTGTTTGAAAATTATTAATTAATGTTTTTCTTTGCGGGTTAAACAAAAAAAAAAAAAAAAAACTTAAGTACATCATTTAATAACCCGAAGCTAAATTGAAAATATTATTATCATCAATATACAACAAAATATAGTAATGTAAAATATGTGCATGTTTTATTTTTACTAGTTTTAGTAGCTGAACAAACTGTGATTGCACGTCATATTGTTACTTACACAATTTCGCACATACTATTGTTATAGATACAATAATCGAATTGTTAAAAGAAAAAGATATTTGAGGGGTATGTTTTTAAATTCCTTCTTAATGCACAAACGTAATAATATGATAGAAGATAATGTACCTATTATCATTTCTTTATCAAACATATAAATATAATAATTTTACGATTTTTGATTTGTAAATTACTCGAAAAATCAATTAGATACTGAGACATTTTCCATTTCAGTTTATAAAAAAACAAAAAATATTTACATTTACTGCGTAGTCCTTGCATACGTACGAAAAAATCCTTTTAGACGTCTAGACGATGGAAACTTTCGATATACATATACCCTAGGGTTGTTATGTTTTAGTTTTATACTCAGACGCATCTACTAGACGTGTACCTATTAAACAATACGAATACTAAACAAAAAGAGCTGATACCGGGGACGGGTGCGGCTATTGTTGTAGGTACGTAGTGAGGAAGGTGGGATACATATTATTAAATTGGAGCAATATTTCTGGTATAAAAAAAACGTGTTAACATAAAAAAAAACTATGAAAATGGTAATACCGCGACGCGCCGTAAATATTTGCTGTTTTTTCTATACTTTTCTTTTGGGTTATTCATATTATTTCGAAAACAATCCGGAAAATCAAAAAATAATTTGTCTAATGCACCAAGTAGAGAAAATTACCTTTCAGAAAAGGTGCTATAATCTATACTTAAGAGCAAGTTGTCTGATAGAAAAGTTTTTCAGACAGAAAAAAAAATACACACACATCATAGTGGAATACTGCAACCAATAGATCTTCTTTCATTCTTGAAACATTCTTGTTTATAATTATTCAAAAGTATAGAAACAAATATTTATTTTCATATTGAATGACAAAATTTTAAACTTAAAACAGTTAATTATATTACTTTATTTATATTATATTATATTATATTATAATATTACTTTTTATCAAAGAGTGCAACCTTATTGAATTTTTCGCTTTCGGTTCTTATAAATACAACAATTTCGGTTACAGTTTCAAAAATTTTGATGTGTTAGTTAACTTAGAATTCTGATAGTTTTTGGCTTAGTTGAGTGGGCCGTGAGTGTAAGGTACTTAAAGAAAAATGAGTTGACTTAAGCTTAAATGTTTTTGAAAAAGATGTTAAGGCGTTAAAAAGCGGGTTAAATTAGCTGAATTTATTTAATAATGGCAATGCAATAAATTAGAAACGTGGAGATTTTTTGTATCAATGAATGGATGGAAGAACCATGTTGGCTGTTTATGGTTAGTGGGGTAGTTCAAATAATATTGTTTGTTGTTTCACACGCGATAAAACTATGCGTAAGATTTGTAAAATATACTTCCTAAAAGTATTCAAAGTATAAATACAGTTGTTATTCTTAAATGTATTTATAATACGTAATTAGATATTACGGACAGGAATGTAGCCTGAGGGCCGGAGGGTCTTTGGCCCCTTGGCTATGTAAAAGGTAATAACATAATTTAATTCGGTAAATAAATATTTTTATATCATTACAAAAAAAAAAAAAAATTGCAAAAAAAAATTCATAATAAAACCTAACCAAACACAAGTGTATCTTTTAACAAACCGCACATGAATAAATACTCATTTACTCCTAACATTCCAAAACGAACTGTTCAATATTTGAAATTCTATAGGTACACCAAAGCCATATGAAAATATGTGATTTTTTTCTTTTCTTTCAAAGGTAATCGCAATTATCAATGTACCCAATTGTATTTAGTATTTACATAACATATATAGGTATAATACTACTACTTTTCTGTTTGCTTATCATGCGTGTTGCGATTGCTTATATCCGGGTCTTCAATTATAAAATGTATTAATAATATGTGTTCGTATATTATTTTATATTCCGAGCACAACGTGACGAAATGTATTGGTTTTACTATGATGCGTTCTAGATTTTTTTTGTTTTTTTTCGTATATTGACGAACAACTTTCCTATCAGAAATCTTGCTCCAATTAAAAAAGACAAGATAAAATTTTTGTTACATTTTAAATTTAGTTGGTGCTTTTTTTTTGAGGTACGGCATTTTTACCAACTATAAAATTGTTTTATAAACAAAAAAATAAATAGAAACATATTTTTGTAAAATATCTTTGTTATAGTTACTCAAAATCGAATAAAATAAGGTACTCGCATTATATTTAATTTGTTTTAGGACATTTTCTTCTATAACTGAAGAAAATTTCTCAAAGCAAATGAAACGTAATTATTGTAATTATACTCGTACAATATAATGAAGAGTTAAAAGGTTTATTTTTTTACCAACATATTCGTTCGATTATAGGAAATATTATAAAGCGATTATAAAGCCATTACATTATTTTTCAACAATGACAGGTTATTTTATGATTTTCCTAGGAGTTTTCCCATTAAATAGGAAAATGGGAAATTGTAAAAAATGTATTAGTAAATATTATGGCCTTTTTTTCTCTGTGAATAATTTTCTACCAGAAATTTTGCTCCGATATTCTAGTGTAGCACTTTTTTTGAAAGGAAATTGACTGGAGTGGTCTTTTAATTTTATTAGCTTTTTTCATAAACTGGGAAAAAATACGGAAAAAACGGCGGAATTGTTTATTTTCAATTTTTTGTTTTTTTTGTTTTGTTTTAATTCAGTTAAGAATATTTATAGAGCTTTGAAGTCTGGACAGAAAACATAAAATTGCTTTTTCTAGACGTGGTAAAATGTTTAAAACATTGTAGCTATTTTTGAGCTATATTTTTTTTTACTTTTTGACATTTTATTCGATATGTACTCTGTGGATAAAATTGTTAAACCAAATTACAAAAATTAACAGGAAGTATAGGTTGTAGTTTTTGCTCATAAAAAAAAAAAAATTGAATGTAATGTAGAATTTTTTTCTTATAAGAATTTTAATATAAAGTTTTTTAAAAAAAAAACTTACAAAGGTATTTTGTAATTGATTATAATTGTTTTGAAGGTAACAATACTAAGTATACAATTTCAATTATAGACACACATCATTATTCATACGTTTCTCACATTAGGTACCTAATTATAATGTTTTAATCATGATTATTATATCAATGCAACCTAACAAATATGGGCATACCTACAATAAAAGTAATAAAAAAATAAAAAAATTGTTTATAATGGCCAGTAAAAGCTCATAAAATTACAGTTTTTTATAATAAATAAAAATAATTTTTTCCTAATGTGAATACATTAACAAGAACCGTAAATCAATAATAATCATTATATCATTATTTAATCAATTATTTATTATTTATTTATTTTATAATTCACCACCCGTTTATCATGGATGATTAAATTATGTATACGAATTTGTTCGTATTATATAAAAAGAAACACCAATAATATAATTTTTACATATCCCCAAGTTTTCAAAATAAATGTATTTTAATGTTAACATTTTAACTGTATCAACAGCTTGCATTAGAATGTTTTTAAATGTTACTATTGTATATGTACGCGTAAATAATAAATTATTTTATCAATGAGTTCTAATAGTGATGCTTTTTTTCCCTTAAATTACATATATCTTAAAATTATCCTATTTTTTTCTAGTAAATTTAATATTAAACATATTATTTTAAATTTCATACTACAATAATTAACAACATTATTTAATGAGTTGTCTATTATTTTTTTATTAATACGTTTATGAATTTTTTTAATAGTATTTAAATTGAAATTATTTCTTTGAGCTATATTATAGATAATATTGAGCTCGTGTTGATAATTATGTTTATTTAATGGAATACGTTCAAGCTTATGGAATATTAAATTAAAAAATGATAATTTTTGGGAATAAAGGTGATTATAATCATGTGATATTATAACATCGGTTTGTGTAGGTTTCCTTTTTTTTTCATATACAAACGTGAATAAAAATAAAAACAGTGTTTGGTTGTTAATGGCAGGAAAATACCTATTAACGATTATCTGAGGGTATACACTACCATTCTACAAAATATACACACCCCGGTGTAGGCGCCACTTTGTGATAATAGACTGCAGTCTTCGTTCACACCTAATTTCGCTGACATGCACTTAAATCGGTATGTATTTTGGAATATATCGAAAGATACTTTATGAGTGTACATTGTATTTTAAAATCGCACGCTATTATCACGCGCGAACTGGAAAATGTAAAATACTATATTTACTTTCCAAATTGGCTAAGCACTTCTACAATAATTTTTTCATCATTTCAAATACTAATTTGAATGCAGTATTTCTGTTTTCTTAATCTATAAATTATTTGAAATGTATTATTAGTTTTACTATAATACGTATGTGTTATTTTTCTGTCTGCGTGGTTTCCGGTAAAATTTGGTTTAACTGCCGGAGAACTTTGGAAAGGTCGTTCTTTGATTTTAGGTACTTTTCATTAAATTAGGAGAAAACTGGGAGAAAAAATGGTTTTAATATTAATAATAATTTCTAGACGTTATAGTAAAATTTTCAAAATATTTTGTGATTTTTTAAGTAAGGTATTTATTAGTGATAGTTTCGCATTTTTATTTGGTTTCATGCAGATAATATTGTTTGAACCCGTAAAAATGATCGAATACATTATATACACGATACTACATAAGTTTTCCTTTGAGTATTATAAAAACAAAGAAAATCCGATTCATGCTTCATGCAACTTTTTTAAAAAGCTCGATTGTTAGTGATACTTCAAAACGAAATCATTTGGCAAAGGCTTCTTCAGTCGTTGTAAATTTGGAATTAGAAGTCTTGGACAAATTAAAAGGCGTAATAACTTACTGTATTTTAATACATGATAGAATTTTAGAATACATAATTTTAACTAGCAAAGTAAAAAAATTTGAAGAACAATATTTCACAACCATTATACATAAAATTAAATTATATTAAGTAAAAAGAAAATCTGTAAAAAAAAAGACGCTTAACAGTCACTGTTATAGTTAATTTAATATATATCCGTAAGCAATGATAAATTATTGCAAACAAAATAACTATTCCGGGTAGAGTTCATAAATACAACAAATGTTCAAAAATATACCTACATTATGATTAATGTATTTGTAAACACTTTACAAAGTGATTCATTTAAGTTGGTACATTCATTTATTATCACAGAAAGTATCAACTTTTTTCGGAATTTTTTATAAAAAATTTAAGAGACAAGCTCCTACATTTGAGGATAGTATCATAATCAACTTTTGATTTTCAATTGGCGACCTATATTTAAAATTTGATAAAAAAATAAATAAATAAATAGAGTATTAATTAAAATAGATTTCAGTGTTGACAATGTTGATTTTCGTCATCTCAAACATTGACGGTATATTGTATTTTTAAGTTTGGGTAAAGGTTCATTACTCAAACGCTGCGTCCCATGTCGTCACACTAATGATCCTCCACGTAGTATGCTCCCCTAATTTCCAACGATACAAACCTAAAATTAAAATATTTCGTCAACGAATTGACATGAATCAATAATTTGAACTCAAAAATTAATTTATACTAATATTCCATCATAACATGTTATATTTTGAATAAGATGCTGTTTGAAAATCAAGACTACGTAATATTTTTATCCTCAAAAATAAGGGTGACAAAAAGTAACATAAATATAAAATTATAGAGCTGCTTGTTTTTTTAAATAATTCTGAAAAAATGTTAATGTAGATGTGGAAAGTATGTTAAATATAAAACAAAAAAAACTGATACTGGGGACGGGTGCAGCCACTGTTGTAGATGGGAAGTTGGGAGGGTAGGATGCATAAGGTTATTTCTTTTATATTTGTAAGCTACGATAACCATTGCTCGACGAAAGATGATTCTGAGCGCAGTTCGGTAATACATAATATGAAGTGCCGTAAATTTGTATGTGATTTTTATTAAATTAAATTTCAAAACGCTTATTAAAAAAAATCATCCGATAATTTTAGGAATTTTACCATATAATACATTCAATATATATAAGTGTTGAAAATATATAAAGTCTTAACAAGTATTTAAAACCGAATTACAGCAAAAAGTCTTTCAAAAATTACCTTTTCCCTGGCAAATTTTTATTTTGTAAACATTATTATATAACTATTATTATGAAAAAAAATAAAACGAATTTTTTTTAAAAAAGTACAAGATTGTATTTTTTATTTTATATAAATTTGAATATATATCATTTAAAGTATGTATAACAATTTTCATAAAAATAAAATTATTATATTGTTTATCAAACCACACATATCAATGAATACAAAACATCAGAGGAGAAACTAATAAAACGCCATCACGAAAATAAAATTTTCTTAGTGTGTGTTTAAATACATACTTTATTTATAAGCATACAAAAACCTTTGTATAGCTCACATAATTATATTTAAGTTTACTTATTATACATTATTTGATTCCCATAATCATTAAGGATAAGTATAATTGTAAAATAATTGATAAAAATAAAAACAAAAAACTGGTACTTAGCGACCCAATTATTAAATTAATAATAGATTTAAAAAAAAGTCTAATCTCATTTGGAATCTAAAGAATTCCGTATATAACCAAATCCAAACCGAAAAATGTCAAAAGCCGTTCTCAAAACCAATTAACCCCAAAATCGACAATTTTCAAAAACCTATTTAAATCAATAACGATTTCGAGAATCGAATTTTGTGTTATTAAACTACAAAATTATTTCTAAGTAGATATTATTTAACCGTAGACGGTGTATTTCTCGGTCGAATTGTAACGGGAAAACCGTTGACGCTCCTCAACATTATATCCGACTTCACTTTGATGTCGTCCATCGTTATGTTTGTGTGTACGCTGAAATTTCGCAATATCATGGACAACTGAACTTTCATGTACTGCATAGCGTACTGATTCCCTGTAATCGAAGTAAATCAAAAAACACATGCATTAATGATCATGTATTATTTATCATGATTCTGTTTTGGGTCTCTATATCATCTCCACCCTTAATTCAAGCACTGGGATATAATATTATAAACTGACCTATACAATTTCTTGCACCGCGACTAAAACCCATAAAACTGTATTTGTGACGTGTAGCGATGTTTTCCTTGTTGAAGTTCTCCGGATTAAAAACTCGCGGATTCGGGTATAATGTAGGAATATAATGCGTGCCCAGCAGGTTTATAACACACGCCGTTCCTTTGGGTATTACATGATTACCAGAAGCTGTATGAATGATAATAATTTGTATGGATATCATATATTTTATACATTTCTTAATTGAATTGTGAAAATGTTAATATTGTTTTTGAATTTGAAATTGATCTATCTAAAGTATGGCACTCCTTTTCTCGGAGAGTATGAACTATTTTCGAAATTTGTTTTACAAAATATTTAAAAAACGAGCAACTCTACAATTTTACCTATTATTTCACTGTTGTTTCGGGTAGGTTTAGGGTAGGGTTAAACTCTTGATTTTAAAATGGTACCTATATAAAAAAAAATACATATATTTATGGAGTACTAGTTTATAAAATTGTGGGGTTCAAAGTTTTGATTTCGATTATCTGTTACAAAGGTTTTACATTTTTAAATTTGGGTCAGGGAATATTAGTGAGGCATTATTTGTGTGGTGACACTGTATACGGCGTTTTTTAATAATGCACCACTACTCTCCGTTGATCGGTCAAAATGTCTGCAAAAAAATATCTCAAGCCAAAATATTTCTAGTTAAGAATATCTCTAGAAAAAATATTCTGTCATACAAAACATCTCCTATAAAAATATCTTTAATAAAAATATCCTATAAGTAATAAAAGTATAAGTATAAATGATTAATCACTATATTAGTATTTTTTAGTATTATCTAAAATATTTTTCCCGATCACATGTTCCTACGTTACGATTTTATTAGGAAAATATAACTAAATGTTTCTGTACACAAGAAATAATATGATAAACGATTTTTTCAACTTTTTCATCAATTTTATCATCTACAAGTCTTCAATTATATATTTAGTTCAAACGGAAATAAGAATATCTTTTCGTAAGCCAAAAAGACAAATATGTACAATGTTACGCCATAACGGGTACATTCATTAATTTTACAAAAAAGGTGTGGACATTTGGTGTTGAGCTGAGTACAAAAAACACAAATATACAGTATGTTAAAAAACTAAATTTTCTATGAAATCATTTCCGATAGTAAGTCTATATTTTTCGAGTTAATGAGTATCTTACGCTGGCCTGCTTAACCTGTATATTACATATTATATACATTTCTTTATTTAAATGTTAAATAAATAAATTTGCGATACGACGTAAACAAAATGTTACATAAGTACTCACAAATTTGAATATCTTCCTGAATTTCTCTGATAATTATCGGTATTGGTGGGTACATTCGAATTGTTTCCTTTAACACTTGTTCCAAATACACTAGCTGGGCAGTGTCTTCCATGATAATTATCTCATCACCGTCACCGAAAACATTGTATATTTCGTCGTACACTTTATTCTGGCATTTGGAAAAAATTTACGTAGAAATAAATTACAAAATTTAAAAATTCTTATTTTAGCATTTGCACAAGACATCGTGTGACTTTGTTTCATATCATAACTTTAATAGGTTTTGGTTACCGAACGTTAAGATTACAATGATTATATAATTAATTTTTATAATTTTCAAAACATTTGAGGTATTTTTAAGCCACTTATATTTTTTTTAATTTGTGAGTTGTGCATATAATTTTTATTCGGTTGGCAACTACTCTATGGACTAACTATGATTTATTGTTAGTGACAGGTATAAATTAAATAACTTCAGCTTCATTAATATTATCACTGCATATGATTAGGAAAAATGTGACGTACAGGAATGTCTAGTACAGCTTTATTTGAATTTCTTTATTAATTTTTCCCTTGGTTTGTGAAGGTTCTTTTTCCGAAGATATTTTATTGAAACCGCTTTATAAAAAAAAAAAATATATCATGGCACCACCAATAGGTATACCTACTTGAATATCTTGATGGATGGCCAACATTAAAAGACAAAAACAGGTTGTAGCAGTCATAGTTTCACTGCCCTGAAACGATAATAATAAAATATTAATATAAAATAAGAGTGTATATTCAATGGGTAACATGACATGACATGACCCCAGTGCTCAATTTTTAAACGTCCGATACTTACAGCCGCAAAAAAGGAGATGATCTCTTCTCTGATATATTTATCGGAGAAATTTTCGATTTTCTCACTTGATTCCAAAATCGTTTCAAAAAAACTTTCTGAAGAAGTTATAGAAAAAAAAACATATAACACGTACAAAATCGTATACTTATAGTTCTAAACTTACTATGGTTTTCATTGGTAAAATCCGAGGGGTATTTTTTGATTACTGATTTCTCCCGTTTGAGTTCTTCTTTTTTAATGGTGAGAATCTAATAATTATTAATTTAATATTTAAACCCCGATAGAGTATTATCGCTCCCTACTTGAAACGATCCTTAAACTCAAATCTAATTTACTAGATATAAAAATGTTTACTTATGTAGGAATAAATTAGGTAGGGTTACATTTTAATATGGCGTCTATAATGCTAATGTTATGCAGTTCGATTTCAATGCTCATAAATCAATTTTATTGAGTTTTTTTTCATTCTGCTTTTCTGAATCTATCATGATATTTCATCGAATGAGTTTTAAGTTTATCAATTATTAAAAAAAAGTTTTAAAGAGTTAACTATAAGTTTCATTGAAATCGTCTTGTCAATAATATAAACGGACACTTCGCATAGTTCATGGACAAAGTTTTCATTCGACTTATATTTCAAAAGACCAATAAGATCATATTTTATTGTTTGATTCGTATGGTTTGTGTATTTATATTAAATGACAATAAAAAAAAATATAAAATCAAAAAATAAACTTCTTAAAATACCTCCTCAAACTGATTCCCTTACAAAAAAAGTGCTACTATTGTAAATCGGAGCAAAATTGCTGATAGAAAACTTGTTCATAGAAAAAAAAAACTCTTTTGTGAAAATTATGCATTCTTTGCTCAGAATCTAAATCAACGATCGTTTCCTATGTGCTAAGGCTTGTTTTAAATATAAATTAATATTGCCATGATATCTGATAGTCTATATCCGCAATCTAATATTTAAAATACTCGGGCAGTACACATAAATTAAATGACGTGGTATACCTTAAATCCTTATCTACCTGATCTAAAAAATAATATCCTCTATTAATTTTTTTAGAAATTCCGGTAAATCTTTGGTATAATTTGAATATGAAATATGGATGCAACCAAATTTGGTAAGCTCTCATCCCTGCCGCCTTTATAGCTCTAAAAAAGAAAACGATCAAATTGAACACAATTTACAATAATACGGGTACTAAGATATTATTCTAGAGTGCATACAGTTCTACAGCAATGTGTATTGTATTCGATGTCCCATATGGTTGCTCTTTCAAATCATATCCCAATACGATATCTATTGAAAAAATAATTCAAATTGGATTATTCATAACTATGTTTTATAATAAACGAACATTTTACAAAACTACAGAGTTTTCCACCAGACTAGTATGACTGCAGTGAGGGAGTATTGAATTAAACAAGTTAAGTATTTTAGTTGAGTTTGGTTAAGTTATGTATTAAGGTTTTTATTATTAGGCAAAAAATATAACACGTTTTTTTTTAACTATTGACGCACCCATATTACAATTCAGGATCTGTAATTAACATGAACTAATGACAATATATAACACCTTGTTGGATTTTCTAAAATTTTGATTTCGGTTTTCCTAATAACTTTTAAAACCACTTGGAAAATTAATAAATAACCTCTTATTGTTATTTTCCGTAGAGGCTGGTATATTATAAAATAATCTCAACAATCGACATCATATTATAATCTGGTGGAATTCGTTATTAATTACATCTTAATCTACTATATCTTACGACATATTGAATTGACATTTGTGACGGCAATGTACTCCCAAAGATCGAAAAGTTCCGTTTTTCCTACTTGCTTGTTCAGATCTTTGATAAGTAATTGATTATTTTCTTGAAAAATTGGGAAATATTTGTGTAGAATTTTGATGTTGAAGAAAGCATTATATATGCTTCGATTATTTCGCCATCTTTTACCTATCAATATACAATTTATTTATTATTTTAGACGAAAAGCAGCCCAACGAAAATGCAATTTATAAGCATACAATAAGATAATATAAGATATACATAAGTTTATACAATGCGGTTATGCTATTAATAGTTAGAGAAAGTATAACATTTAGATATGCTCAATTAACACTTATATTTGCACATAAAAGAAGATCATCATTAAACTTATTTACAAGGATTATTCAACTAACAACAGGAGCATTTAAACTATATGTTATGAACTGAAATAACACATAAATTGTTTTTGACTGTCTAGTACTTCGACTATAAACTGAGAAATTTAATTTGACAATTTTTGATAGCTAATAAATATTTCCATTGAGTTATGTAAAAACGCAGCAGAAATCTAGAAAAAAGAGTTAAAAATGTTAGTTAGTTTGGTAAGAGGAATACGATTGCGTACAATGTCACATCGAAAAGAATCTAGAGTAGAAGCCGCTTATTAGAAACATGGATACAATCGCGATATTGAAACAAAATTGATCGGGACGGATCGGTCGTATATTAAAACCTATTGTTTATTAGAAACAATCTAAATCTATCGTCTTTCCATAAAACTCAGCATAGATGACGTCTTGCTTTTCGTGGGTGCACATTGACTATTAAATGATAGAGATGTATCAAAAAAAAAAAACCAAAATCCCTGTATTGGTGGACACGAATTAGATATGAGGATCGGGTTTTCGAGAAAATAACTTCTTTGCATTAAAAGATATTTAGACATAAATTATTAAGGTCACGCCAACTACAGAAAATGTTTAAATCGTATTGAAGAATTTTAAGTGTCATCAGAATTTTCAATACCACGAAATATTTTGAATTTTTCGGAAAAAAATATCACTTATAAATTGGAATTTTGATACTATTAACAAATATATTAGATAGGGGTGGCGTAATATGAGATTCCCGAGATTCATTAGAATCCACACTAAATAATTTTTTTTTTTATATATAAATGTCCAGGGGTTCTATCATTTCAATGACTTTCAAATTTTTATAAATATGTTTTACAAGATATATCTTACATACTAAGTATACATTTTATATATTATATACGATGATGAAGTTACAATTTTAATGCAGTAGCTTCAACACATGATTTGATTCATTAACTAAGTTATTCTAGTGATATTATTAAATTAATGATATATTATTATTGAGATTGTAGAGGNCAAAATATATCTCACATACTAAGTATGCATTTTATATATTATATACGTTGATGAAGTTACAATTTTAATGCAGTAGCTTCAACACATGATTTGATTCATTAACTAAGTTATTCTAGTGATATTATTAAATTAATGATATATTATTATTGAGATTGTAGAGGTATATTATTGAACCTAAAATATACCTTTAGCTAAGAAAGTACTTTCTGCCATTACATCAAAAATCATGTCATAAAGCCACGGTTTATCCAGGGCTTTGGAACTATTTAACACGATCTGAAACAAATACAGAAGTTTCTTTTATTAAAAAATTACTTTCGCATATGCTGTTATGTTTACTATACTTGTTTCGGTAAAATAAAAAAAATGCTCTGATCGAAAATCAGTACATTAATCAATATATTATTATTAGGTACATTAATATCATATATGGATGTAGATCATGGATGGCCAAACTGCGGCACGCGTGCCATTTGTGGCANAACAAATACAGAAGTTTATTTTATTAAAAAATTACTTTCGCATATTCTGTTAGGTTTACTATACTAGTTTCGGTAAAATAAAAAAAATGCTCTAATCGAAAATCAGTACATTAATCAATACATTATTATTAGGTATATTTATATTATATATGGATTTAGATATGCGTGGTTATTTGCGCCATAAAACCATATTTGCATCACCAGTATATACTGGCGTAAAGTTAATAACTCTTAAATTTTTTCCATAATGAAAGTTTCATTAGAACATGGACGTGTAACGCTAGTAAAACGTTTAACAGTATAGATTAAAAAACCTTTAAGAATGATACAACAGAGACTTGATTGAATACATATTTTTTTTATTTTAATAAATAGATTAAACTTAACTTAACATAGATATTTTACTCATATCTTAGTTATTTTTAAAACGTGTTCTATTTCATTTATTTATTTACGAATCTATTGTATATTTTAATTATATTTTTATGTTTTTTTTGGTTTAGTTAAAAATGAGATATAAAGTATTACTGTAAGCAACGAATAACTATTGCCACCGAAAATACTGCACTGAGTGGAGTTTGATATTGGTTGAAAGTGATTTGCTAACAATATATATGTCATATAGTGATAAAATAATTACACGTTCTTTAAACATTCCTTTTTATTAGGAAAACTCCTAAGAAAATAAAAAAATTTTCCTAATGTACCATCCTAGTCAGATTTTCTTTTTTAAAAAGTGCTATCATTGTAAATCCTGGTAGAAAAGTTCATAATTGCAAATCCTCCGGTTGGGTAATGACCATAAAAAGATGCGAACCCATCCCATATTTTCGGTAAAAAAAAAAAAAATGCTCTGATCGAAAATCAGTACATTAATCAATATATTATTATTAGGTATATTAATATCATATATGGATGTAGATCATGGTAGACCAAATTGCGGCACGCGTGTCATTTGTGGCACATTTGTTGTTATGGAATGGCACACTAGTGTCAGATAAAATAATATATAATTTTTGAAAATAAGTATTATTAAATTAGATTATATTATCGCAGTGGAATTTTCCGATTATTATTCCGATACGAGAATTGTTACGGTACGTGTGTACTAGATTACTACAATAAAGTTAGTCGTATTAGAATCGCCGTGTCCGTGCGTTAACGCAGTAGTTTGTGCCGTTGTGTGTGTGTGATAGTGAAATGGCATCTAATAAACCAGGAACTTCAGGTTTAGGCGTAAAACGAAGTTATAAAGATGATATTTCTTCGCGAATTTTTAATACAGAATGGATAGAAAAATTTGTATGTTTAGAAGGGAAAAAATCTAGACCGACATGTNGATTACTACAATAAAGTTAGTCGTATTAGAATCGCCGTGTCCGTGCGTTAACGAGTAGTTTGTGCCGTTGTGTGTGTGTGATCGTGAAATGGCATCTAATAAACCAGGAACTTCAGGTTTAGGCGTATAACGAAGTTATAAAGATGATATTTCTTCGCGAATTTTTAATACAGAACGGATAGAGAAATTTTTATGTATATAAGGGAAAAAATCTAGACCGACATGTTTAGTATGTATCTCTGTAATTGCAGTTCCAAAAAAATTCAATGTTCAACGGCACTATAATAATCACAATGATATTATTGAAAAATACCCCGAGAGTAAAGGTACAGATATATTTAATAAACTAAAATGTTGTGTTGAAACTTTGTTGTTAAAAATTGGCGATTTAATGTGGTCAAAACTTGAAAGTGTATGCACAGACGGTGCNGTAACTCTGTAATTGCAGTTCCAAAAAAATTCAAGGTTCAACGGCACTATAATAATCACAATGATATTATTGAAAAATACCCCGAGGGTTCTGTAAAAAGGACAGAATATATTAAAAAGAAGACTAATTCATTGTTAACTCAGCAATCAATTTTTACTAAATAATCAAATGAAAAAAAAGACATGGTGTTTACGTCTTATGAAATCGCATTTTTGCTAGCCAAGTGTGGAAAACCTTATTCTGATGGCGAAATCATTAAAAAAAGTTTCGATATTTTTGCAAAAAATGCAAATGATTCAAAAATTTCTACGTACGTAAATGANATTTCTTTATCACGTAATACAATTATGAGAAGAATTGACGAAATTTCCTCAAATATTTCAAAACAAATTTCGTGTAGTACCACTAGTTCTACATATTTTTCTCTTACGCTTGATGAAAGCTGTGATATTACGGACAATCCGCAATTAAGTATATTTATTCGAAGTGTGAATTCTAAGTTTGAAGTGACGGAAGAACTTTTAGGACTTGAAGTACTCGAAACATCGACAAAAGGTACAAATATATTTAATAAACTAAAATGTTGTGTTGAAACTTTGTTGTTAAAAAGTGACGATTTAATCTGGTCAAAACTTGAAAGTGTATGCACAGACGGTGCTCCATGTATGATAGGTAAAAATATTGGTTGTGTAACACTATTGGAGGAGTTTTTGAATAGAAAATCCTGGTAGAAAAGTTCATACTTGCAAATCCTCCGGTTGGGTAATGACCATAAAAAGATGCGAACCCATCCAAAATCTAAATGGTTTTGGCCCATAATCCAATGTCATTTGCGTTATTTTATTCACGACCACTGGAAAAAATGGAAATAATACGCACATCACTTAGACATGTATTAATATAACTTAAATAACTAAATAATTGTGCTGTACATGATATATATATATAAATAGAAAATGAGATATAGGGACTATACTTATTATAAAAACATTAATTCTAAATATTTTTGAAAAATTGTTAAAAGACAAAATATCACAAAACACATTGCCGAATATCTTTGAGCGTTGACGTTTTTGGTAAATTTTTTTCAAATGTATATAATGAAACAACTATCAAATATGATACTATTCAATCACACTATTAAATCTTTTTTTTGAATTAATAATATCAAGGTATAAATTACAGACGTCCTAGATCAACTGGGTAATTCAAAACCAAATTTGGCGTTTGCCCCTGATACGTATTTATCAGTCAAATTTATACATGAGTGTCGCTTTATTCTCTCAATTCTTAAAACTTTTATTTTTAATTAATTACCATAGGGTGTGTTTTCATTCACCTAGAAAACTGTATATACATCTCCGATCATTAAGAAAGCTAAACGTTTTTTTGTAACAAATTACCGCCTTATAATATTTATCTATATAACTTCACATGGTTGCGCCTAATTATTAAACTATTCTTAAGTTAAATACAACCAATCAAAATTTTCAAATCTAATTTAAATCCACGAGAAAAATGTAAGAAAAATATAAAAGTGTATATAATATTTTTCTCACACTCATCCATTTAGGGTGTGTGTACTAATATAATTATACTAAAGATTTACTACAAATTTATTATTTAAATGGCTGGTGTTTAAATTCCGTTCTTACTATATCGCATTTTACTATTGGCACATCTTACTACATTCTATCTGTTAATTACATTAGCGATTACTTTTTGGAAGTGATACTTATGTCTACTAGGTAGTCAGTATACTTCTCACTTTCAGCCGACCCAATTAACTCAAGCGCATTTCCAACGATCGGCCAGACTTTAGGCCCATTCATTTTACTGGTCAATTTTTTGTGGTGCGAAAGGTCTTCTAGATTCTGGAGCCACCTGTGTCCGTACCATAACGCGAAAAGAGCGATCGTAGCATAACATGCGATTGGCTGCCATGCAACGCTCGTCAATGATTGCAAATTTGCTGTCTCCATCTAGATACATAAATATAATTCATGTATCACAACACAGGAAAGTTCTGAAAATGAATCATTTAAATTTAAAAACGTAACATAATAGTTCATTTTCCAAATATATCACATTTCTAAAAAAAAAAAAATAGATTATGAATATAAAAATATAAATATGTGGAAATATTTTCTGAATATATTATTAATAAAACAGATAATCCTAATTATTGTATAAATGTCGTCGTTCAAAATCAACTTAACAGTTTAATAATATAGTAAAAGAACCACAAAATAAAAAAATTTAAAATCAGAACCCATTGTTCTCGACTAATAATAATAAAAATAGTAAAAGTTAAGAAATTTACTTGACCATCAAGAAATAAAACTGATCATTTGTATTGCGTACCCGTGTATTCCATAAGAAAATGTAGTATGTGAACGCTAATGAACACCTACATATGGACTTTTATGAATTTATATTTATATATATTGTAATATATGTACTGTAATATAATCTATATTAAAGTCAATAGAACAATATCAAGGTGATACACTGATGTCTAATGTGCTGATATTTATTGTTTTTAGATTCTGAGCGAATTGAGTATTGGTTTTTAATGGTGTTTATTGTATTATATTATTATTATTTTATTTTAATCTGCAAACAACTTTTCACAGGAAAATTTTCTCTGATTTCCAAGTGAAGAACTTTTTTTGAAAATAAATCTGACTGGGATGGTACACTGAGGAGGTCATCTGTTCTTCCAAAAAGTATTCATAATAATTGGGAAAAACCGAGAAAAAACGTAATAAAAATGTGGGAATTTTATGAAATGTCTTATTTTCAAATCGTAAATATGACGGCCATTTAATGCACGTATAACCGAACTGCGATCAGAATCGTTTTTCAGCAATGATTTATTAGTCAAAATTTAATATTTAAATTCGTTTATAAAAAATAATTCTACCCTAAACTATTTTTTTTTGTTCTTAAAATAAGTCCAACATTTAAGGAACTTCCTCTAAATTTTCAAGCATTTCTGTATGGTCTACCAATTTTGTTCACAGATTACCAACCGAATACACATTAAGTACAAAACTAAAAAAATCAAAATATCTATCGTTAATTCAAAAACGGAACAAATTTATTCGTAAATTTTCCCGTGCTTTCTGCATTTTTTTCGGGTTTGCTCAATTATTAAAAACTACAAAAAACGACTTTCCTGGTTACCAACTAGTTTAAAAATTCAGCAAAACAGATCTTTTGACCATTTTTTATTTGAGCAATATTTATGGTAGAAAGCCCAAGCTATACGAAATTAAAATAATACAAATTGTTTTGCCGTAATTTAGAGAAAATCGTATCAAAAAGAACAAAAATGATCAAAACATCGGGTTAACATAATAAATATATATAAATGGTAATGCCGTGGCGTGCTGTAAACATTTGTCGTTTTAATTTTACTATAGTAAAGCCAATATATCCCTCTCGACGCATCAAATTTAAAAAAAAAAAAAAATAATGAATAATTAAAATATATATAACACTGCGTACAATGTATTAAAGTACATGTGATTATAGCTCAACTCTTCTACCATTTTTGAAAATGAATACTAAAAAGAAAATAAGGATACTCACGGAATTTTTGACGATTTGTCGGTAATATTACTGAATGTAATTGTATTTTTTCTGCTGACGCTGTTGAACAGTGATGTTTTTTGAAACTGGCGACGGTGGTTTTTTTTTTTTTTTTGTGGCGCAAACTTCTAGCTGAATCTGCGCACTTGTCGAATACTAATATAATTATATCTACTGGCCTTCGGTCGTTGCGTGCGTGTATGTACGGGCGTTCTTATACAATTTCTTAAATTAAAACGACTTTTACACATTAGAAATACGATTACCACATCACCTTAGCTTCATCGCCGGTCTGGAACGGGTTATCAAGGCCGTCTCAGCCCGTATATATATAAAAAGTGGCACGCGCATAGTCACACAAAAAAACTGTGCCCTCTCTTATAAGATGCGGCCTATTATATAGTTGAATACATATACCTACACCGGTATGATTTATAAATAATAATAATAATAATAATAATAACACTTGTGCGCCCATTTCAAACCAAGTAAGAGTTCAAAATCGAAAGGCGTGAGCGCTATCGTGGCAACGTTATCACCCACAAACGCAACAATATTTTTTCGTCAAAACACCTGCAGTAAGCAAATATAGTTGGTTGGGGGTATCCCGGGTATAACTACCAGCCGTCGATAATGCCTTTTCAGACTAGTCTGCAACCATCAATTGCAAGCAACTTCATATCATATTGTTTTACTCGCATTTTTTAAAGTGTTTAAATATTTTCAATAGAAAATAATTATATTTTAGAAATGGTGTTTAAACATTTCTGACTTCGGTCATTCAATTCGGATACATTCGGATAGTTATCCTGTTCGGATATATTCGGATATTAGACGTAATATTCAGATATGTGTAATAATCAAACATTCATAAGATGTAATCAAGAACAATTTGGATATAAATAGTTACGCAGATATTAAAACAAAAATACTTAGGTACTTGGAAATCGTTGAAAGTACAAAAATTCGAATACAATAAATTTTCGAAAATTAGGATAATCGAGAATATTCGGATTTTGCGGAAATCAATTATCGAGGTATAACAGTTCTGTTATCCTAATATATGTCTCAACATTAGTATAAATACTGCCATGCAAATTATCATTTTAGCGTTGATTGCAAATGGAAATTTAAAACTTGGTATTTTGGTTAAAAAAGATTTAAGGATTCAAAATAAGGTTGTCACTGACAACTGTTTCTATTTATTTTTTATAAATCTTTTTTAAACCGTTGTTACGGAAGGCATATTTATTGTTCATAAAGTAACTCAACGGTTTACAGATATACTACGTTCAATTCCCTTCTGTATCCTACCTTCCCAACTTTCCACCTACGACAATGGTATAATAATATAATTACAATGGATGCAACCATTGTTGTAGGTGGGAAGTTGGGAAGGTAGGATACAGAAGGGAATTGAATGTAGTATACATGATATATATGATATATGATGTCGCCAAATGTCGTCATGGATGATATTTATGTGCAGTTGTTTGATTCGCTATCCGATGAAGATATTTTAAAACTAGTCTGTAATTCACGTAAAATTCCTGCCGTTGTTTATTATTTGACTGATGATGATGGTAAATAATTCAATATTTAATATTCATCTAATGTGATACAAATTTAAACCAAGTAAATTAATATCATCCTTACTTTCTAGTCATAGTTGTGTTATTATCTTAATCATGTAATTTTGGTTGACTGGTTAGAGACTAGTTTCAATAATATCGCTCACAAAGTCAACTGTATAGTGATAAGGAAATATATGATAACCCGGCTCGACACCAAAAATACGATTTCACACCTACTCATTTGCTAATGTGAAAAGTGTTCACACCAAATCTAACAAACTATTTTACAATTAGTGTACACTATTGGGTAAAATGAATAAAGTTATTTAGTAGGTACTGTGTAGATAAATTTTAAGACCTATTAGAAATGCTTGAATATTTGACAGGAGGTTTATTATAAGTAGTACTTAGAGTGGTTGAAAAAAAAAATTTGTTTAATACAGTTTTTTTATTTTTTTATAAGTTTTTAAAATGGAATTTTGAAGTAGATCGTAAATATTACGGCCTTTCAAAACATGCATAACCATAAACATTTAACATTCATAATATAACATGTATCAATCTGATTCATTTTTCGTTATCAAAGGTTTATTGTTGGTTACAGGTATAAATTTAAAAAAATTGTGTATTTATATTTCCCACCTTTCTCAGTACGACCCTACAATAATGGCAGGCAGCAGCACCTGTCCCAGTATCAGCACTTTAAACAGCTTTTAATCACGCCCAGAAAAAAACAAATATAAATTTTCTGTCAAAATTGCACAATGCAATATTTTATTAACTTATGTTTTCTACCATATTTATAGTAGAAAACTTAAGTTGAACATATTAAAAAAATTAAACCTGGCACATCAATTTTCTTTTTTTTGTTTTTCCCAACTATTGGGAAAACTACTTTTGATATCGAAAATCGATATACTTTGTAAGTATCGAAATATTAATAAGATCAAAATTGATTACTAATCATTTATCGATTGAAGTAATATTTTTGGTAGAAAACATCATATCAACATAATAAAAAAAAAAAAAAAAAACGATAACTCCACGGTGTGTCGTAAATATTTGCCGTTTTACCTATACTTTTCTTTCGGGTTTTTCACAATTATTTCGAAAATCCATTGGAAAAACAAAAAACGACCTTACAAATGCACCAACGAGAGAAAATTATCTTTTAGAAAAGGTCCCATAGTACATACTTCTGAGTAAGTTTTTGGTAAAAATGTTCCCAGACGGAAATAAAATAAAATACATACAACATAGTAAATCCAATAGATCCCTTACTACGCTCTGAATCTAAAATAAAAATTATTGTAAAACTAATACATTCCTCGCTCCACTCAGAATCTAAAAAGACTTTTAAACATTCATTCAGTTGTATGTATACTCCGAATTCTTGCAACCATTTCCCCATTCCCACATCGGTAGCAACTTGAGAATAATCTTTCAGTAAATTGAAATTTATAAAGAGTCATTTTTGTTCAACAACATAACATAATCGTCTCAATCATTATTTACTACTTTCAACGAAATACAAATTAACGAAAACTATAGACTGTGATGGTGTATGGATGACTTTGCCGGAAAGAAAGCAAGATAGAAGTTTTTTGATACACGTGTTGATAATGATCAATTATGTTTCCCTATAAATTGTAATTTTCACTTGAAACTACTATCTAAGCCCATATATCCAATATACTAGTTCAGGGGTCGGCAACCTGCGGCTCGCGAGCCACATGCGGCTCTTTCGGTCTAAAGTTACGGCTCTCCAGCTGCACACACAAAAATTAATATTTTAGTTCAAAAACAATATTTTATAATATAAAAAAAAAGTATATTATTTTTGTTGTTTTTGGAAATATGAAATAACACACCACAAAAATAATTTGACATTGCCCGCATGGAGTGCAGTCTATAGTTGTAAAATGTTTATTATAGAGTCTAATATAATCGCGACGCTATCTACAACTAATTGGTCATACGCCGTCACGCCAAGACATGCAAAGCCAGTGCTCCCATTGATGTATTCCCCTATTATTAAAAACGGTTTTTTTTTTTTTTTTTTATCATAAATTTATTATATTATTATAATTATATTTAAATACTTAAGAAAATTTTTAGTGGCTCTTTAAAATCTGGAAAATTTTGTACATTGTAACTTTTGGCTCTTCCGTCAAAAAAGGTTGCCGACCCCTGTACTAGTTCCTGTTTTTTCTACAATACATATTATGTTAAATTTTAATAATGGTCATAGTCCTTGTTTATTTGACCGGAATGGAGTGAATCATACATTGGCCCATGAACATTTACAAGATTTTTTACTTATTTCAAATTTTTATATAATTCTGTTGAGGTGGTTGAACCCCTATAACCCTCACCTCTTTTACACCACTATTTAACGTATTTGGTTGCTCCAATCCCCACTTCAATTATTATATTCAATCCTAAATAATTTCACACACACACACACACACACACACATAGATATTTAAATACATACATCACATCGTGGTCATAAAATATAATTATTATTAAATATGTTGAATTTAAAGATTATTATTCTTGTAATTATGGGTGACCATACTTCCCGTATTTCAACTGTGTCCAGTCGTCCCGACTAAAATTATCCGTTTTCTCAAGTAGCCCCGTATTAATCTCGTCTGTCCAACTTCTGTTAATGTGTAACTTGAAATTTTGTTTGACGTCATTATGATATTATTCAATAAAATCGACTTCACAATAGTTTTGACCATAATAGCGGGTATATTGTATTAAACACGGTTATTAAGCAAAAATTATTTTTTAAAAAAGATTTTTGTTAATGAGTCTTACAATATTTAGTTAAAATCGTTGCCTGTAAGTCCATTTTTAGGATGTTCAACAATGGAACTATGCTCTCGCAGGTACCTTCTGCCCCGGTCATAATTTGTACGTTTTGGTGCCCGTACAATCCCGGTCGCGTTTCTAAGAAAATAATAAACCTATTCATGGTCATGAGTTCCTACACGAGAGCGTCCATTTAACTTGTCTCAGATCACGCGACGAACACCTCGGCCCTAACACGGTCAATTGCAGGCACGCGTTACCAACAACATGAGAAGCTATTTATATTACGCGCATTAACCATCGTGTTCCGATTTACTCTTTACTTACCTAAATTTATCTGCTAAAATTAACCTGTTAATATTTAAATCTGAATGTATTAATATTATTTTATAATGTTTTGTTCGCACGATGTCTTGTGTCGTGAGGTTCTTTTCGCGAATTATGTGAAAATAAAACCAGTTAATGACCTTAACCCCTGTTTATTTTTATCTTTATTTAAAATGAATATTTCGCCTGTTCTGTTTCATCGGTATTATATAAATATCNTGTATGTTGCATAAATGTTTTATTTGTATATTCAAAAACCTTTATATAGCTCACATTTATTTTGTTTTTCTAAATTATAATAATTATATTTAGATTTAATTATTATCCATTATAAGATCCTTATAAAAATAAAGAATTAATTTAGTAAAATAATAATTAATAAAAAAAAAAAAACTGGTTAATAGCGACCTAATTATCAAAGTAATGATAGATTTAAAAAAAGACTAAATTTTGTTGGAATTTAAAAAACTTCGAAAAAAACCAAAACCAAAATCGACAATTTTCAAAAACCTATTTGAAAACCGTTTAAATGAATTTCGAGAATCGAATTTTATGTTATTAAACTACAGCATTATTTCTAAGTAGATATTATTTAACCGTAGACGGTGTATTTCTCCGTCGAATTGTAACGGGAAAACCGTTGACGCTCCTCAACAATATATCCGACTTCAATTTGATGTCGTCCATTGTTATGTTTGTGTGTACGCTGAAATTTTGCAATATCATAGACATCTGAACTTTCATGTACTGCATAGCGTACTGATTCCCTGTAATCGAAGTAAATCAAAAAAACATGTGTTAATGAGTATACCTCGTTTATATCTATTTTTGAGTATTTTATATACGCAATTCTCTAATGGGGAAAATAAAACAAGGGTGACATAAAGACTTTATACCAAATTTTAAATATAATTCAAAATTTTATTTACATAACTTATAACTATTTTGGATCATACTGGTTTTGAATTTGATTTTTTTTGTCAGTAAACAAATTTTTACCAAATATCTCACACTTATATTTAACTTTAAGGATGGTGGTTTCTGTTGAAAAGTTGAATGGAAAGCTTCTGTAGCCTAGTTGGTTCAACAAGAAATTTCATAATTACCATGGAGCTATTCATAATAATAAATAAAAAACTAGAAAAACATTGTTATGAACCATAATGTTTTTTTGGGCCTCACCCTTAATTGAAGCACTGGGATATAATATTATAGACTGACCTATACAATTTCTTGCACCGCGACTAAAACCCATAAAACTGTATTTGTGACGTGTAGCGATGTTTTCCTTGTTGAAGTTGTCTGGATTAAAAACACGCGGATTCGGGTATAATGTAGGANTTATTAATTATGATTTTCTTTTGGGCCTCTAATTCACTACTACCTTTAATTCAAGCACTGGGATATAATATTATAAACTGACCTATACAATTTCTTGCACCGCGACTAAAACCCATAAAACTGTATCTGTGACGAGTAGTGATGTTTTCCTTGTTGAAGTTCTCCGGATTAAAAACTCCCGGATTCGGGTATAATGTAGGAATATAATGCGTGTTCAGTATGTTTATAACACACGCCGTTCCTTTGGGTATTACATGATTACCAGAAGCTATATAAATGATAATAATTTGTATGAATATCATATATTTTATGCATTCCTTAATTAAATGTTAATATTCGTTTTGATACACAAGGTGATCTATCTAACGCAGGTCACTCTTTAACTCGGACAGTATAAACTTTTTTCGAAATTTGTTTTAGAAATCATTTAAGAAACAACCAGTTCTGCAATTTTAAATTTTCTAAAAATAAGGAAGTTATTGAATATTTTCCATAAGGGATATTTTCATCGTAGATATTTTTAACTGGGGATATTTTGTTGGAGGTTTACAATCACATCAACATCAAAATTTATTTTAACTAATTTTACCCAATATATTATTACAATTATTAAAATAGAGGTTTTATTATTTGAAAATCGAAAATAGGCAATCGTTCACAAAGAATGTAAATGACGAAAAATAATATAAATTTAAAAAAGTAAAGATTCTTTTCACTTAAATATTTTTATGAAGCCAATTTCGAAAATAAGTTTATATTTTTCGAGTTAATCAGTATCTTACGCTGGATTGCTCAACCTATTTTTTACGTATTAAATATATATTTCTTTATTTAAATGTGAAATAAATCAATATGACACAAACAAAATATTACGTAAGTACTCACAAATTTGAATGTCTTCCTGAATTTCTCTAATAATTAACGGTATTGGTGGGTACATTCGTATTGTTTCCTTTAACACTTGTTCTAAATACACTAGTCGGGCGGTATCTTCCANGGTAATTATATAGTCACCGTCACCGAAAACATTGTATATTTCGTCGTACACCTTATTCTGATATATTAGAAATAATGTATGTAGAAATCAATTACAAAATTTTAAAAATGTTAACTGCATCATTTGCTTAAGATTTTATATTAAAACAAAATTCTAAATCACAATATGTACAATGTACGTAATAAATTAATTGTTTCACATTACAATTTTTTTTTTGATACTGATGTGCACCAGAGATTTTATTCATAATAGACAAAAATTTTTACTGCCATATCACAGTAATACTTTTGGTTGAACTTCAGTGATAATCAAAATGTCAACTCACCATTAAATTTATGAATTATGACTAATCTGCTATACTCTGATATCTATGATTTCAACTTTTTGTTTTATTATTATTGGGCATTGCGTATAAATGCATTATTCTAACTATTTATCATATCTTTTAGTAAAAATATTAAACATGCAGATAATACTTTTCTATTCCTTAAATGTTAAAAGATCATAATGACTAAATAATTATATTATAAAATTATTAATACATTTTAGCTATTTTTGAGCTATTTAAATTCATTATAACTTGTAAGTTTTGCACGTATTTTTTTATTGGTAGTTACCAAGAAATTTTAGACAATTAAATGGGTGGTTATTACAATTTTTACTTAGTAGACAGAAAAACAGTGTGAAATCAAATTTTGACGAGTATCGCAAATTTTACGGCCTCTTAAAACACGTATAACCGAACTTCGCTCCAAATTGATTTTCGATAGCTAAGATTTATTGTTGGTTACAGAAATAAATTGAATAACATTAAGTATCTCACGTTACCAAATTTCAACCCATAATGTGGCCGCACTTGTCCCTTTTATTAGCTTTTTAAATATTTAACCAAATATGAAAATGGCTACTAGCTATTACCAAATTCATCTTTGTTAATATTATGTACATCATGGGTGAATACTTCATATGATTAGGAGAAATGTGAAGCACAGGAATGTCTAGTACGCTGCTATAATTATAGCTCTTAATTCCTTTTCCCCTTGAATTTTATGAAATATATTTCTTTAAAGCGATTTAATTGAAATTGCTTTATAAAAAACAATTAACAGCATCAATGATAAATATACTTACTTGGATATCTTGGTGAATGGCCAACATTAAAAAACAAAAACTAGTCGTGATAGTCATGGTTTCACTGCCCTGGAACATTAATAATCATAAAAAAATAAAAATGTGTACTCAGACTATAATATGTATAACTTGACTATGGGTGTGATCATTTTAAATATTCGTACTTACAGCGCCCACAAAGAAGCTTATCTCATCTTTGATAAATTTATCGGAAAAATTTTCGTTTTTTTCGCTTAATTTCAAAACCATTTCCAACAAACTTTCTGAAGAACCTTTGAGAAAAAAACATATAACACGGACACAATCATATAATTATAATTCTAGACTCACCATGTTTTTCATCGGTAAAATCCGAAGAGTATTTTTGGATTACTGATTTCTTCTGTTTGAATTCTTCTTTTTTAATAGCGAGAATCTAATAATTATTAATTTAATATTTAAAGTCCGAGAGATTATTATTGCTCCCTACTTATAACGATCCTTAACCTTAAATCCAATTTACTAGATATAAAAATGTTTATTTATGTAGGAATAATTTAGGTAGGGTTAAATTTTAATATGGCGTCTATAATGCAAATGTTATATAGTTCGATTTCAATGCTCATGATTAATTTTTAGTTTTTTTTACCCTGCTACTCGGAATGCGTCATGATAATTCATTGAATGAGACTCAATGAATTTAGGCTTATCAATTATTAAAAAATAGTTTAAAGAGTTAACTATAAGTTTCATTGAAATCGTCTTGTCAATAATATAAACGGACACTTTGTATGGTTCATGGACTAAGTTTTCATTTGACTTATATTTTAAAAGACCAATTAGGTCTATATTATTGTTTGATTCGTGTGGTTTGTGTATTTATATGAAATGAAAATAAAAAAAAATATAAAATCTCCTTGGAAAATCAAAAAATAAACTTCTTAAAATACCTCCTCAAACTGATTCCCTTTCAAAGAAAAGTGCTTTTAATGTAAATCGGAGCAAAATTGCTGATAGAAAACTTGTTCATGGAAAAAAGAAAAAACACCTTTTTGTGAAAACTATACATTCCTTATTCCACTCAGAATCTAAAATCAACGATATTTTTCTATATGCCTGTGGCTTGTTTTAAGTACAAATTAATATTTCCACGATATCCGATAGTCTATATCCGCAATGTAATATTTAAATTACTCGGACAGCACACATAAATGAAATGACGGGATATACCTTAAATCGTTATCTACCTGATCTAAAAAATAATATCCTCTATTAATTGTTTTTGAATTTCCGGTAAACCTTTGGTATAATTTGAATATGAAATATGGATGCAACCAAATTTGGTAAGCTCTCAGCCCAATCATCTTTGAAATTCTAAAAAAGAAAACGACGACATTTAATGCAATTTGAAATTAGGTACTAAGATGTTATGAAATGCATACAATTCTACAGCAATGCGTATTGTAGTCGAAGTGCCAGATAGCTGCTGTTTCAAATCGTATCCTAATATGATATCTATAGAAAAAAATATTTTAATTGGATTATGTTTTATAATAAACGAACATATTACATAACCACAGGGTTTTCAGCCCGATCAAAATGACTACAGTGATGCAGTAAGATGTACATAAACATAGTAAAGTTTAAAGGTTTTTGGAATTATACACAAAATATTCCACGAAAAAATTCAGCGGCGTATATACGGGGAGGCACTTTTGAGTTTAGCTACTATTTCACTATAATGTTAAGACATGTGTTAAATTATTAAAAAAGTTGTATAAAATAATATCTAGTTATAGCAATTATTATTGATTCGTGTATACACAAACATACGTCATCATAATATACAGTATTTAGTATGTACTATACGCTACTAACAACTAGGTAAATTATGGTTGCTGTATGTAGCATAAAATCAATTAGAATNAACCAAGACATCCTTCGCCATGCTTATAATACTTTTTAGGTGGTAGTTTATATAGGTTATGTTGTGTGGCTGGTTGAGGCTGGTAAATTATATAAGAACCTCAATAATCGACATCACATTATTAATCTGGTGGAATTCTTAATTAATTACATCTTAATCTACTATATCTTACGAAATATTGAATCCATATTTGTGTCAGCGATGTACTCCCCAAGGTCGAAAAGCTCCGTTTTCCCAACTTGCTTGTTCAAATTCTCGATTAGTAATTGATTATTTTCTTGAAAAATTGGGAAATATTTGTGTAGAGTTTTGATGTTGAAGAAAGCATTACATATGCTTCGATTATTTCGCCATCTTTTACCTATCAATATACAATTTATTTATTATTTTAGACGGAAAGCAGCCCAACGAAAATGCAATTTATAAGTATACAATAAGATAATATAAGATATACATAAGTTTATACAATGCGATTATGCTATTTATAGGTAGAGAAATTACAACATATAGATATGCTTAATTAACACTAATATTTGCACATAAAAGAAGATCATCATTAAACTTATTTACAAGTATTATTCATCTAATAACAGGAGCATTTAAACTATATGTTATGAACTGAAATAACACATAACTTCTATTTGACTGTCTAGTACTACGACTAGAAATTGCGAAATTTAATTTGACAATAAATATTTCCATCGAGTTATGTAAAAATGCAGCAGAAATATAGACTTCTTCGTCTTGTTTCGAGTGATAAAAGAGTTAAAAAGGTTAGTTAAGGGTGGTAACAGAAGGACGATTGCCGTATAATGTCACATCTGAAAGAAACTACAATAGAAGCCGCTAATTAGGATCACGGATACAATCGCGTTATTGAAACAAAATGTTTCGGGACGGCACAGTCGTGTATTAAGAAAATCGGAAATTAAAACCAACCGTTTATTAGAAACAATCGGTTAATTGACGCGTTTCACCTAGCTACCAGAGTGTTCCGAAAAAGCGGCTTTTACCATATTTTCACAAATCAATTCGGAACCTGCTCTATAGCTTTTATTGTACCTAGAATGTTTAGTGATCAAATAATTGAGTTGTGATTAAATATTGACCGATAACAACNGCACAGTCGTGTATTAAGAAAATCGGAAATTAAAACCAATCGTTTATTAGAAACAATCTGTTAGTTGACACGTTTCACCTAGCTACCAAAGTGTTCTGTAAAAGCGGCTTTTACTATATTTTCACAAATCTATTCGGAACCAGCACTTTGGCTTTTATTGAACCTAGAATGTTTGGTGAACAAATAATTGAGTTGTGATTAAATATTGACCGATAACAACGATACAAGTACAATTAAATTTAAACCACCTATACATCATTTATTTATAAAACCTAGCATAGATGACATTAAATGATCATTAAATGATAGAGATGTATCAAAAATTAAACTTAAATCCCTGTACTGGTGGACACAAATGTATATTNCGGCTTTTACCATATTTTCACAAATCAATTCGGAACCTGCTCTATAGCTTTTATTGTACCTAGAATGTTTAGTGATCAAATAATTGAGTTGTGATTAAATATTGACCGATAACAACGATACAAGTACAATTAAATTTTAAACACCTATACAGCATTTATTTATAAAACCTTGCATAGATGACATTAAATGATCATTAAATGATAGAGATGTATCAAAAATTAAACTTAAATCCCTGTACTGGTGGACACAAATGTATATTTAAAAAAGATATTTGGATCCGATTTTTCGAGAAAGTAATTTCTTTGCATTAAGAGATCATCAATCTATGCATTACAAGATATATTTAATATACTAAGTATACATTTTATATATTTTACATGTGGATGAAGTTACACTTCTAATATAGATACTTCTACCCTTGATTTAAGTCTTAAACTAAGTTATCCTAGTAATATTATTCAAATAATGATATGTTATTGTAATATTCTAGATGTACATTATTGTAACTAAAATATACCCTTAGCTAAGAATATACTTTCTTCCATTACATCAAAAATCATGTCATAAATCCACGGTCTATTCAGGGCTTTGGAACTATTTAACACGATCTAAAACAAATACAGAAATGTTGTTTATTAAATAATTACTTTCGTAAATGCTGTTAAGTCTACTATACTTGCTTAGGTAAAATAAAAAAAAATGCACAGGACGAATATCACTGTATCAATGTAATATTATTAGGTACATTAATATCATATATGGATTTAGATGTAAGTGGTCATTTATGCTATAAAAACATATTTGCGTCGCCAGTATATACTAGTGTAAAGTTGGAATCTCTTAAATTTGTCCATACTGCAAGTTTCATTAAAACATGCACGTATCACGCTAGTAAAACGTTTAGCCGTATAAAAGAAAACCTTTGAGAATGATACAAAAGGGACTTGATTGATTACTTCCTTTTTTATATCAATGAATAGATTTAACTTAACATAGTCATTTCGCTAATATCTTAGTTATTTCTAAAAAGTGTTTTACGAATCTTTTGTACATTTTAATTATATACTATGGTTTGTTGGATTTATTTAATTATAGTATTTAAGGAATTTAATGCATAACAATATGGATCGAATAACCATTGCCACCGAAAATATAGTTTTGAGCGAAGTTTGATATCGGTTGATATTGATTTGCCAACAATCTATAAATCGTATAGTGGTAAAATAATTACACGTGTTTTATATATTTTCTTTATTAATATTTGTTTAATATTATATCTATTTCTCGTTTTTCATACGTTTTTCTTGGTTTTTCGATGTTTTTTTACAAGGATTTTTTCCTATTAAATAGTATGTTCATACTTGCAAATCCTCTGGTCGTGTTATGAACATTAAAAGATGCGAACCCATCCAAAACCTAAACGGTTCTGGCCCATAATCCAATGTCATTTTCCTTATTTTATCCACAACCACTGGAAAAAATGGAAATAGTACACATATTACTAAAACCTGTATTAATATAACTTAAATAATTGAATATTTGTGTATTTATGTATTAAAATGTTTATAAAGCTATACCGGTAAAATATGTTATAAAAAGTATCACTCAATATTTGCTTAGTATGAGTGCAATTTTGTTCTACTTTATACTCTTCTAATAAAGAGAGGCAAACAGTCATTGCAACATTTTCANTACATTAATATAACTTATGTATTTATGTAACTTAAATAAATAAATATTTGTGTAGTTTTGTATTAAAATGTTTATAAAGCTATACCGGTAAAATATGTTATTAAAAGTATCATTCAATATTTGCTTAGTATGAGTGTAATTTTGTTTTGCTTTATACTCTTCTAATAAAGAGAGGCAAACAGTCATTGCAACATTTTCAAAAATAAGGTTATTGCATATTCTTTTAAACTGACGAATTCGGTATTAGTCATATTATGAAACATGCTAGTAACTTTTTTAAATTTATATAACTATTTTAAACTAAATATCAAAGCTCATAGGTATCTCGACTCTCCATTACCATTTACTTTCCTAGTTAAAAATGTTATGCCGAGTGATATTAAATTCAATATAGAAATATATTCTGTTTAATTGCTGGTGTTTAAATTCAGTTCTTACCATATCGACTCAACATACAATCTGGTAATTACACTAGCGATTACTTATTTAAGGTGATATTTATGTCTACTAGTATACTACTCACTTTCAGCCGACCCGATTAACTCAAGCGCACTTCCAACGATCGGCCAAACTTTAGGCCCATTCATTTTACTGGTCAATACTTTATGGTGTAAAAGTTCTTTTCGATTCAGCAGCCACCTGTGTCCGAACCATAACGCGAAAAGAGCGATCGCTGCGTAACCTGCGATTGGCTGCCATGCTACGCTCAATATCGATTGCGAATTTGCTGCCTCCATCTAAATGCATATTTATTTATTTATTTGAACGATATAATAAATATCTCAGAACCACGCGCTCGCTTTTCAAATGACGTCAAATACTCGTAATAATTATTTATTAGTGTTTTTCGATAGCTAAGGTAACACGAAAAATTTCACTGGTGACTTATTCGTATTTTTATTGTAATCATTCGATAAGATCGGAGTTTTCCGATATTTTTTTCCCGGTTTTCACATTAAATGAGAATACTCAAAAAATGGACTTCTTATAATACCTCCTCAGTCCAATTTTAATTACAATTATGTATTTGACTACCTATAACAGTTGCTGCACCAATCTCTTTTCCGAGTACGGCATTTTCATACTATTATTTTCGTTTTTGAACTGGAACTACTTAATTTAAATTTAGAGGTGTTGAAGCACTTCTGAATACTTAAGTAGCTCAGAGTACTGAGCCTACAATGGGATCGTGATTGACAGGTTACACGATAAAATAGGTTTATAGAAAAGCACGTAATAAGCAAACCGTCTTGGGGTTTCCATGGTATAAATGCGGATTTCTAAAAATGCCTTTAAAGACGTGTCTGGAGCCATTGACTGAAAGCACCTAAACGCCAGATTGTTTCATTAATATTAATAAAAAGTTTTTGAATACTTCGACAGTCAATAAATACACTTTTATTAATTATGTCCATCTTTTTTAAGTTTTGTCATAATTAACTCTGATTTCAGTGTGAAATGGTCGCCCGCTACGCTTTGATAATAAAACTACATTCGAAAAACTGCACAATAATATGATACACTATTATTTATACAGTTATTTAAATAATAATTTTGTTTTTTGTATTCAATATCTGTCTTATATGTTACATAACTATTGAAAATATTAATGTATTTATTTCAATTGTTAATTTAATTGCGAGTACATAGTTTAAAAATCATTGTAATAATATTTAACATTAGATTAAATATTATTACTATACTATTTTTCATTTTTAAATACATTACATTTAAATGTAAAACAAATAAGACAATACACAAGAAAAAATTTTTGTGTAACAAATCAATCCTTACTATATAGGGTGTTTTACAGTGTAATACAGACGTTCTATAACTCCATCATTATTTATATTTTCAATCGAGTTTTGACACAGTGAGAAAGAAATAATTTTTTCACTTTTCAAATTTGTCAAAATAGCTATTTCGTAAAAAATATTACAATGACAATTCTAATGTCCCGTACATTCATATTCAATAAATTGTTTCTAAGTAATATCCGTATTAGTTTCAAAAAAATTGGTGTGAAAACAATTAGTTTTCAATTGAATAAATGACACGCGATAAGGAATCACAATCTGCAGGTTATTCCTTATCATTATTGAAGAGAATTAAAATATTTTCATGTCAGTTATTGAAAAATTAAAACAGATATTACTTAGAAATTGGTGATCGAATATGAATATATGGTACATAAGAATTTTTATAATTACATTTTTTATAAAAGGGATATTTTGAAAGGTGAAAAATAAAGTTGTTTTTTTCATTGATTAAGGGATCAAAATACATTTATTCTCCTCTAAATATGTACTGACCAAAAACCCGAATAGAAAGAGTAAGCTCTTTTTAAAAAAGAATACTATATAAAATTCATTTTTTTTATTTTTAACACTAAGTACGACATTTAATGAGCCTCCTGTTAAATTTGTAAGCATTTTTGTATAGCCTAAAAATTTTATTCTCAGATTACCAATCGAATACAAGTTACGTACAATACTCACATAATTAAATGTGTATTGTTAACTTAAAAATGGAACAATTGTTTTGAATTTTCATACTATGCCTAGAAAAAATAATATACGTTTTCTATCTCTAAATATCTAAATACAAGTAAGTCTTGATGAATATAATAAATAGAAGTGCATTAAAAAAACAGTATTAAAAATAATAAAATAATTATTTTCGTATATTATCTTGTACTTTCTGCATTTGTTTTCGGTTTTGTTCAACTATTGAAAAAATACGAAGAAAATTAAAAATGATTTTCCTGATCACCAACTAGTTTTAAAATTGAACAAAGATATCCTTTTTACGTTTTTGTATTGGAGCAATATTTATAGTAACAAACACAAGCTATATGATATTAAAAAATAAAATCTTTAAAATTACTCACTTGTCATTTTTCAATTGGAGAAATATTTCTCCAATTGAAAAAATCGTGTTAACATAATAGAAATGATGATTATTCGAAAACCCACTGGAAAATCGAAAAGTAACCTTTCTAATACACCAATGAGAGAAAATTATGTTTCAGAAAAGTAGTACAGTCCACATTTTGGAGCAAGTTAATGGTAAAAAAGTGATTCTGAGGCAGAAAAAAAAATAAAAAAATACAACGTAGTAAAACCAATAGATCTCTCGCGAGTCATCGAATCTAA